AGAGGTTTCTATGTTCCCTCATACTGTTTGTTTTATTTGGACGAACAGTGAAAGTCAGACTTAAGGGTCGTATTCATTAAACTTTTCAATAGTCTGTTAGTCTTTGCTGTACAGATAAGGACACATTGTGCACAGGGGAGTCAGGGTCAAGTAGATCTGAAGAATGTGAGCACTTCCTGTCAGCTGAAGCTCCCTGTGCCGGGGCCTCAGACAGAAAAACACACAGCAGTGAAAGAGCAGAAAGCAGATTAGAAATGAAATTCACACTTCATCCAGAAAGATGATAGAAGCAAACTCAAATATGAAGAAACGTAATAAAAGAACACAAACGTAGAATTATTTTCTGTAGATTATGAGATTATTATAGGCAATGTTTCACTTTTGCGCTTGGGGGAGGGGCTACAGGAGCCAGACTGACATTGGTTTAGGGTCTAGTCTAGTCTAGGATCTTGGTCTGGGTCTAGTTTCAAATTCTGAGATAGCAGTTGTTTTTGTATAGTTTTCTAAAAAATTGAGTTGTTTTTGTATAGTATACAGAGTTGTTTTGCATAGTTTAATAAAAAAAAATGTCTATATAGTTTTTATTAACATTAATTTGTTAGTTTTAGTTTTAGTTTTTTTCTCGCAATTCTAAATTTGTATCTAACAATTCTTACTTTTTTTCTGCAATTCTGAGAGAAAAGATGAATTGCAAGATATAAACTTTCAAAAAAAAAGAGTAAACAGAATTCAGAATTTTTATGGTTTTAGTTTACTATATATATATATATATATATATTTATTTTTTTTTTTTTTATTTTTTTTTTTTTACATTTGCACTTGCATTTTGTTCTTGTCACTTTTCCACAATGCACTGAAATAAATTCTCATATTTCTTATATTTACATGGTGTCATTTTCACTTGGGGAAAAAGAGCACATGGATGTCATGGGTTTGGCATGGAGTAATACTGCAAGGTGCCAAGAAAAAAGAGAGGGTAAAAGGGCCAAACCTTGTAAGCTTGACATATTTTCACAATTCTTATGGCCAATATAAACTAATTTTAAGCATATAGTCCGCTTCTGTAAAATGTTTAGTGTTACTACAAGAATCTCTTGAAAGTGGAGGGTTGTTTGAGCTCACCTAAAATATGAGTTGAAGTCTTGTACCTGCAAAGATGACTTGTGACTGTCACAAATAGTTACAAGCCAATCATGGTAAAACACAACACCTACAGTACAAAAGTGTGACACTTAAAGATTAATTTTTTTTCATGTTTAAGGTTGCCCCAGAGACGCGCGCTGTAATCAGCTGGATGCAGGACATCCCGTTTGTACTGAGTGCTAATCTGCATGGGGGAGAGCTGGTGGTCACCTACCCTTTCGACTGTACACGTGATTGGATCCCTCGCCAGGACACGCCCACCGCAGACAACGATTTCTTCCGTTGGTTGGCCACCGTCTATGCATCCGCCAATCTGGTGATGGCAAACCCTGAGCGGAGGATCTGTCACTCTGAAGACTTCCAGCAGCACAACAACATCATCAATGGAGCGGACTGGCACACTGTACCAGGGAGTGAGTAAACATCAAACACGCATGTATTTAGTGTGTAACTTTATCTATTTATACAGCTTCATTAAACTGCAACTGGGTACTTCCTAAAAGAGATGGCACAGGCATATTCAAATGTAAAAGTCCACAATGAAAGTCTTGTAGAACATATTCACGAGTATGTAGAGTGTAGATATTTATATATTAGTTGCTCCATATTGAAGACTAAGAGTGCCATCTAAAAAAAAATAATTGTCAATGTATTAAAAATTATAAAAAAATATAGTTAACATGATATGAAATAATAAATTGATAAATCATTTTTATTGCACAAATACTTTTATTTTTCCTGTTGCCAAATGCTAATTTCTTCATTCATTTGCAAAATTGTGTGTGTGTGTTTTATTTGTTTTGGTACACTTTTAAACATGAATTAATATCAATTTGAAAAGTGATTCATCTATTTGCATTTTATTTTTGAATTAATAAACCGATAATCCCTTTTACATTTTATTTTTATTTGGCAATCATGCGTCTTATATGAAAGGCTTTATGTACTTGATGAATTTTAATGTCTTATATTCTTTACTTTTTACTTTACTTTTAGTCATTTAGCAGACGCTTTTATCCAAAGCGACTTACAAATAAGAAAAAGTAATTAAAACTAAAAGCTAAAACTCTATAAATACTATATATATACACATTTAAGAAAATAAAAGAAATTAAATAAAAATGACAAATGCATACAACAACATTTCAAAACTAAACATTTAAATGAAAACAAAAAAATAAAGCTAAAAACAATTCAAAATATTAAAAGAACAAAAGGTATGAGTATAATAATGATTCTAACATAACACTAAGCCAAACACCAAAAAACTACATACGTGTATGTACAGCCACACACATATACACATATACATGTACATATATATATATATATAAATACATTCAATATATATATATTATTTCATTTCCATTTTGTATGTTGAAGTACTGAAATAACTCAAATGAAATAAAACTAAAACTTAATAAAAAACCTATATAGACATAATAAAAACTAATAAAATGACAACTGTAACTAAAACTAAAAATAGATAACTAATACAAATCAAACTACATTAGTTTATCAGTAGTCCTAAAAAAAACAACACTGAGCCAAACACACATGCTAAAATAACAACAACTTACTGATATTTATATTATATTATATATATTTATATTGATAACTTATATTCTGTTTCTTATATTTTATTTTTGCTTTATAGGTATGAATGACTTTAGTTACCTCCACACGAATTGTTTCGAAATAACTGTAGAATTGTCCTGTGATAAGTTCCCACATGCCAGTGAGCTTCCTATCGAGTGGGAGAACAATAAAGAGTCTCTCCTGCTGTACATGGAGCAGGTCAGTTCACTTTCCCTCTGTCCTGCACAGAACATGATCCTGCTGGAACCCATTTCCCTTTTCATCTGCTCTCTCTGGCTTCTGCAGGTGCACAGAGGCATAAAGGGCGTCATCAGGGACAAGGACACTAGAGCTGGCATTGCAAATGCTGTCATTAAGGTGGACGGTCTGGGCCATGACATAAGATCTGGTATACCTCAGCGTTATTTTAGTATCATTGATATATTATAGTTTCTGTTAATATTTTGTGTTCGATTTTTAGCTATTTACATTTAGATTTTTACTAATGTTTTCATTTGTTTTGTGATTTTTATTAGTTTTCCTAAAAAATATATCTATATAGTTATTAACTTTTATTTATTAGTTTTACTTTATTAGTTTTTTTTCACAATTCTGAGTGTATATCCCTCTAGAAATCACTATGCCAAATAAACTGCATTACAGCAATTCAATTATGTTGTTAATACTGAAAATAATGTTTTCCTTTCTTTCACATGCTTGCAGCTGTAGATGGTGATTTCTGGCATTTGTTGAATCCAGGTGAGTACAAGATAACGGTGTGGGCAGAAGGATACTTCCCACGCATCCGCCACTGCTCTGTAGGATCAGAGCCCCGCGCGACCATCTGTGACTTCACCCTCACCAAGACCTCACAGGATCGTCTTAAACAGATCCTGGCCAGTGGTGGGAAAATTCCCCGGGACAATCAGGTACGGATCCGAGCCATGCGAATGCGCAAACTCCGTGCCAGCACCAAGATTCTCAACCGCCGTCGAGAACAGCAGCAGCGTCTTAACAAAGTTAAACGGAAGTGAGCAGCTCATTTATAAAATAACGAGCTGGTCTGCCGCAGGTTGAGAGACATTGAGATTCTGGACTGTAAACTGACAGAACAGCTTCCTCTACATTCCTAAAAACACATTTCTACTTTTTAACAACATCATATCTTTGAAAATGAGATAAGAGACAACAGTTCCCCGAAGCCAGTCGAGTCCAGTGAAGGATTTACAGCTACTGGTTTTCAATTTTTCAACTGTGTTTCACCCAATGTGATTACACAGCTTATCCCTGGTCTGCTGTTTAATATTTGAATGTTTTTTTTTTTACCGCTAACAAGAGATTTCTAAGAATGGCTCATATATGAGCAAGACTGAGATTGTAGCTGGTTTCTACACTCAGAATGTGATGATGATTTTATAATAAAGCTAATAAAGGATTTTACAGAAAGCAACTCTGTTTCCTCAGCGGTGTTAGCACTGCAGGATAATTTGAGGGGGAAAAATGCTGAGACATGCTACAATACATTCATATTCATTATGTTATGCCTCATGAACCACCAACTATGTACCAGTATTAGGACATTTCTTTTAATTATACATGGAAATTGGACAGTTCATTAAGAAGAAATGGAAAACAGTGCCTGAGCTGAATATCTGGATTCATGATTTTTGCATTTGTATAAAAAAAAAATTAATGTTAAGATTCTACATACTTAATTTAGAACAGAATACTACAACAGTAGATTTGTGGGTTTCACACTTCCTGGGCAACCCAGTTCATTGTCCTTTACTACCACCATTCAAACGTTTGGGGTATGTTTTTTTTCTTTAAGGAAATTAATACTTTCATACCAGCAAGGATGCAGTAAATTGGTCATAAATGACAGTAAAGACATTTATAGTGTTACTGATTTCTATTTCCAATAAATGCTGTTCTATTGAACTTTCTGTTCATCAAAGAATCCTGAAAAATGTATCAGTTTCCTCAAACAAAATATTCAGCATCACAACATTCAACATTAATAAGAAATAACATTAGATTACATTTCTGATGGATCATGTGACACTGAAGACTGGAGTAATGACTGCTGAAACATCACATGAGCTGTGACATTACATTAATAAATTACATTTTAAAATATATCAAAATGAAGTTATTTTAAATTGTAATATTTCACAACATTGCTGCTTTTACTGTATTACTGATCAAATAATTGCAGCTATGTGAGCAGAGACTTCTTTCAAAAACAAGACTTAATGACCCCAAACCTATGAATGTATATATTATCTGACTGAAACCCTCTGCTATAAGGAATTAATCAATTCCATGTGTTTTCTATTTCATATTTATGATGGAACACGAGTTTTACAAAAATGACATTTTCCCAATCCTGCTCTTGACCTAAAGCGAGTGACGTGCCTGTCCTAAATGATCTGTTTAAGGGAGCCAGGTGCCAAAGCTTACTGAGTGCACTCCATCAGTCTATATGCTAACACAACTCTCATTTTTGCTTAAAAACAGCTCTTTTTTACAGCATGCCAAACAGAAGATATGAAAAAGTTTCTTTATTTAATATACCTGTACCACTGCATCCTTAGCACTGTTAACATGAATAGAGTGAATATCAAGAGAGAATAGAGTAAAGGTAACTTTCACTGTTACTCTTGATTTTAAATTTCCATGTTCAAGAACAGTCACTATTTGAATAACGGAGAAGGATGACCAACTCATATTAGTCCCAGAAAAGCTGAACATTCAGATTTTGTCCTCGTTTTCATCTTAAGAAAGCTAAACTCATCTGTATAAAACACTCATCCAACAGTTAAACCTGCATCAGAACTGCCTTCTCCTATTGTCCTCACGTCCAGAGTTCAAAGCTCCCACCGATGTGCATAGTGAGCATCTGAACATTTCATAACTGCTGATTGTCCATGTAGAGGCCAGAAGCATATGAAAAACAGAACATTACAAAATTCCCAGTCCATTCAATCAACCATTGGCAGAAGTCATATTCATCCCAATACTCACACGTACATGGTACATACTGCATTGACAATCTACAAATCAGACCTCATTTAGTGTTGTTACAGATAAGCAGTCCAAAAATAAAAATTAACTGTTAGTAAAAAGTGACATACTTCCAGAATTTTTTTTTTTCTGAAAACGAATATGGCACTGCAAATTCTAAAATATTTGGCAAAATGCAAAAATTGCCATCGGCTTGAACTGCTTACAGTTACATGAAAATGACTGGCTTAAGTTACTGGAGTGCTGCATGGATGAGCAACCAAAAAACATCCCATAATTCTCGAACGCTCACGTGACTCATTCAACCTCCATCGTGTTTGCTTTTATTCTCACACAGACTGTTAAATTTACACAGCATAAAGAACAATTACATCTAAAAATGACAAACATGTAGAGGGTCATTCACATGCAGTGTGACCTTACACACACACACACACACACACTAAGGTAGTTTCGTTCTCCCATTATCCACCTGACCAATCAGAAGCTTCTTCCATATAGTTCAGTGATCAGTGTAAATTCTAATGCATTTGTATGTGTTAAAAGTGTGGTTGATACAGAGCTACGCGTCCACTAAGGCAGCCCGTTGCAAACTGACAATGAGTGGGTGAGAACTTTGAGGTGAGCACCACGTCGCTGTGAGAGTAGATGGAGCGAATCTCCCGCAGCAGAGCCGTCCGCACAGGCATGCAGTCCACCAGCTCGGCGCAGTGCTCATCGAACGCCAGCAAGCGCACGCCGTAACCATATGGAGAGCAGATGAGCCGGCCATCGGGACTGAAGCACAGCTCCTTGATGTAGCCGCGGCCGACGTTAGCCTCCTCGATGTAGTGCGTGAGACGCAGAGAGCAGCGAGGAGAAACCGGAGGTCGAGGTGGAGCTCCCTCTTGAAACTCATACACACACGTCCACTGAGAAAGACAGAAACAAGACTGTTGAAATTCATTCTGCATGTTACACCCTTTTTAGGTTTAGGTTACACCACTGACCTCCTGGTCATCCATGTTGCTGGAGCAGCGCAACAATGTGGCCCAGCCTTTAGGGTGCAGTTGCAAGGAGGTGATGCAGTTCCCACGGTCCCTCTCACCGGGGATCTCTGGGGTTAAAACCTCAAGACTGTTTCTGGGTGACAGACCTTCAGAAGACAAAATGTGAACACTGGAGTAAAAACTCATAAAAACAGAATTAGGTTCAAAAGGTGCACAATCAAAAAACTAAACTGCTAAACAACCAATGTTCACAATAAAAAGACTAAACTACTAATGTACGTACAACTTTCATAAATAACCTATATTAAAATCATTCAGTCTTACCCTCTCTGTGTGGATGGGTTTTGCTGTCAATGGTGTGACGGGATCCCCCCGACCTGGTACCTGCTGATGAACCTTCTGAAAGAAAAGAAGAGACTTAATCTTAAAAATGATGAGAATGATGATGATGATAGGGACAGGATTCACAACATAATTAACCAGTAGTTTTCAATAATACTTTGTTAAAAGTAATTCTACTTAATATTTTATGAATTACCCATGAACAAGTCAAACACACACAACACACACACTCCTGTTCAAAAATATTAAAGAAATTAATAATTTTATTGAACAAGGATGCATTAAATTGATCAAAAGTGACAGTAAAGACAAGCATAACATTTTAGTTTCTATTTCAAATAAATACTGTTCTTTTGAACTTTATCACAAAATCCTGAAAAAATGTATCACTGTTTCCACAAAAACATTAAGCAGCACAACGTTTTTCAGCATTCATACTAATAAATGTTTGAGCTGCTAATCAGTTTATGAGAATGATTTCTGAAGGATCATGTGATACCGAATACAGGAGTAATGATGCTGAAAATTCAGGTTTGCCATCAAAGGAATAAATTGCATTTCAAAATATTGTTTGATCAAATAAATGCTGCCTTGGTGAGCATAAGAGACTTTCAAAAACATACAAAAAAAAATATATTTTTTTAATTGTAAGTGTACGTTGTGTTAAAAATAATTAATGCTTACAATCAATTTATATACATTTCATATTTAATAATTTTATGGACCAATGGAAAAACATTTAATTACCCAGAATGATCCAATTTACTCCTTAAAACCCCTATGAAAATTTTGTATTAATGGTGTTGGATTAATTAATCAATCCCTTGTCTCTGTGACTTTGCAGTACAGTAAATATCATTTAAAATTCAGTTCAAATTCCAACTCATGAACTGAAAGAAACACCATTCTTAAATTTTGAATGTTGCCCTATCCTACCTATAGCAAACTTCACCCTTTGAATACTAATCCATTTCCATGCCGCCTCCATATCTCCTCATTTCAGACCTTAGTATTGCTCATTTCAGACTCTTATATCTTATTTGTTTACGCTTTATGTATGTACCTGTGCTGAGAGGAGCTCTTCGGGCCCGTAGGATGCGGTAGCTCCCGACCTCAAGGCTCTGGGTGAGGTCAAGGTCATGTAAGATGAGCAGGTAACCAGAGGAGGTGGAGATCAACATCTTACTGCAGTCTGGAGTCAGACGCATCCGCATTAGATAGCGTGTGTGGAAAAACTTCTTGTGTGGACAGCCTTCTTCTGTGAACCTAAACAAACAATGACAGCACAATGAAAGTACAATGACACACAGTTGCACACAACCACTTAAATATGCAATCTTAAAGGAATAATTGACGAAAAATCAAAATTTGCTGAACATTTTCTAAAAATGAACTTACCCTCAGGCCATCCAAGATGTACATGAGCTTGTTTCTTCATTGAAACAGATTTGGAAAAACTTAGCATTACATCACTTGCTCACCAATGGATCCTCTGCAGTGAATGGGTGCCGTCAGAATGAAAGTCCAGACAGCTGACAAAAACATCACAATAATCCACAAATAACTGACACGACTCCAGTCCATCAAGTAAAGTCTTGTGAAGTGAAAAGTTGCATGTTTGTAAGAAAGAAATACATCAAGATGTTTTTAACTTTAAACTGTTGGTTCTGGTTACAATGAGTCCTCTAAACATAATATAGACAATTATTTGTGGATTATTGTGATGTTTTTATCAGCTGTTTGGACTCTCATTCTAACGGCAACCATTTACTGCAGAGGATCCATTGGTGAGAAAAGTGATGTAATGCTACAGCTAGGAAACCCACACCTCCAAACCACAAAACGTACCTGTTGGTGTCCCATGTGATGACATTTCCGTCAAATCCTGACGTCACCAGCAGGCGAGTGTGTGTATCATACTCTATGTTCTTGACCCAGCTGGCGTGGCCATGTAATGAGCACACCTTCGAGTTGAGTTTACGCAGATCCCACAATGCAATGGTGGTGTCATCGGAGCAGGTCGCAAACAGCCGGTTGTCGAGAAACCTGAATAGTACCCAACATCAGCCAACCAACCTCACACTTAGATGACACAGTGGTCATCCGCATTAACTTTATGAATGTGCCAGACAGTATTTGTGTGTAAGAATGGAAAAACAAAAGGATCACAGAAGCAACTAAGTCAGTACAGTACAAATTGTACAGTACGCAAATCCTAGTGTTCAACATGCAAATTGTTTTGAATTAGTTCCTACTACTATGAATTAGCTCTTACATAAAAGACTGTTATAGAAAAGATTTCGCTCATGCAACTGAGGTTCCTGCACACTCCAATAGATTATATACTGTGCGCACATGTACCTTATGTTGTTTACACAGTCTTCATGAGCCTCCACCAGTGTTTTGATATGTCTGGAGGAAACGGGGTCAAACAAAAGCACTTCTGTCTGCTCACAAGCAACTGTCAAAACTGACCTAGAAAAAAGCAATACACAGGTGTTTGTCAATTAGGTCAGAACTTTTCTATATGGTACACGTATCCTATTATAAAAAAAAGTTTCACTTTAAAAAAAAATATAGACTAAAAAAATAAAAATAAAAAAACAGATTTTTACTGGGAAATGTCATCAGTACAGTACAAATTGTACAGTACGCAAATCCTAGTGTTCAACATGCAAATTGTTTTGAATTAGTTCCTACTACTATGAATTAGCTCTTACATAAAAGACTGTTATAGAAAAGATTTCGCTCATGCAACTGAGGTTCCTGCACACTCCAATAGATTATATACTGTGCGCACATGTACCTTATGTTGTTTACACAGTCCTCATGAGCCTCCACCAGTGTTTTGATATGTCTGGAGGAAACGGGGTCAAACAAAAGCACTTCTGTCTGCTCACAAGCAACTGTCAAAACTGACCTAGAAAAAAGCAATACACAGGTGTTTGTCAATTAGGTCAGAACTTTTCTATATGGTACACGTATCCTATTATAAAAAAAAGTTTCACTTTAAAAAAAAAATATAGACTAAAAAAATAAAAATAAAAAAACAGATAGCGTTATAAGCGCTTATTGCATTGCAACAGATTTAAACAGCAGGTAAAAGTTTACTGGGAAATGTCAATACTATAGTACACACTTGCCAATTTCACAGACATCACACACATTCCATGTCACAAATATTTATGGAATATACATGCATGTATGACATTTTATTATAAGAATGGATCATTTTGCATGTGATGGTTATGACATAACCATCACTATGTTAAGAGTATGACAATTTCATTGATCAGCTTATCAGTTTTAATCAGCAAGTCATGTTCACTTATTGTGTGAATTGTACTTACTCTTTTGCACACATGTGCAAAAAAAATGTAAGAAATTAAAACCTGGTGTGAACAAATACTAATTGTTTAGAGATCTGAACTGTTTTTTTTATTATTATTTATTTATGTGTGAATTGTACTTACTCTTTTGCACACATGTGCAAAAAAAATTTAAGAAATTAAAACCTGGTGTGAACAAATACTAATTGTTTAGAGATCTGAACTGTTTTTTTTATTATTATTTATTTATTTTTTCAAATCTGAACTTTTTTCAAATTGGAAAATTTTAATTTTAGGTTGTTGTTTTTTTCCGTGACTTTAAAGTAGTTGTCATTACCTACTCAATCATTATAAGAAATTCAAAATGTATTTATTCAGAAACGGTCATTTCTTTTTCATCTTTATACATTACACAATATCAGCAAGTGTTCCATTTAACGTTCATATGTTTCAGTACATACAATGTTTTAACAAAGAAAATATTTGGAAAAAAGCTTATTTTGTTTAATGTTAAGCAGTCAAAAGTGCACATGACTGGAGACACTCATAAATGAACTGAGCAACGGGACTCGTGACAAGGGCAACACTGAGCGCAGCGCTTACCCGTCCGGCGAGTACTCCAAGTTGAAGACAGCCCCGTGGGTTTGTGTACTGAGGTTCACCGAATCCGTAGCTGGGCTCATGGATGAATAAAGCCGTGTCATGTTACGGAAATGATCCCGCGCGGGGTCTACGAACGGCCCCCTGCCGACTGTCCTCCTGTATATCCACGAGAACAGAGAGTCGCAGGCGCGCGAGACCCTGCCCCCCGAGCCTGTCCCGCCGTCCGCGGCCGACTCGAGCCTCGAGCTGCCCTGCGTCCCGGTACTCTTGCGGCCCGCCCGCGGCGATGATGGTCTCGTGGAGTCCTTGTCTTCATCACTGTCGTCGTTCTCCTCCGCAGCGCGCGGCTCCTCGGGCTCCTCGTTGTCGCTCGGCTGTCCCGAGCTCATTGTTGCACGAATGTTGCCAGCGGCTCCGTCCTGAGACTCACCCAAACTCACCCTCCTGCAGTGGGCGGACAGGCACTGGACCTGCGAGCCAGGCCGTCTTGCAATCTGTGCTGAAACCGCTTAAACATCCATTAATAAACACAAGAGTGCTGCGGATGTGTGCGGATACAACAGACTACGTATTTCCGGTTCTTCTTCTAATAACGTTTTATGGCGGATGGCAAACCAACTTCTGGTGCATTTACCGCCACCAACTGGACTGGAGTGTGAAGCACGAATAAGCAACTTCGTATTTCCGGTTCCTTCTCTGCATATATTAAAACCTAACTGAGCTACTAAGACAGCTTTGAGCCTACAAAATCCCCAACTTTTTAAAAATGGTCTCTACTTTTTTGACAAACGTTTATAATAACAATTTTATAAGAAACTCCTTTAATATTGGATCCAATCCTCCATGTAAACCAAAATGGCTTAATCTTGGCATAGCATTTGGATATTATCATACAAATATGTTATTTCTAATAAAGTAAAAGAAGTACTTTACAAAATTATTCACGGATGTTATCCTGTAAATGCAGCTGTTAGCAGATACAGTATATTCATAGTGTTTGTGATAAATGTACCTTTTGTAACATATCAGTTGAAGATATTGAACATTTATTTTTCTATTGCTCTTTTTCATTTTCATTTTGGGTTGACTTTAAAATAGACATAACAAAAAAAGTAAACAAAGCCCTTAATTTAGAACCTCGTGATATTTTACTTTGTTTTCAAAACCCATATTTTTCTGAAAAACAAAATTACATTATTAATCTGTTAATTTCATTATTTTAGCAAAGTTGTATATTCGTAAGTCAAAAATAATTCAAAAGAAACCATAATATATTACCTTTTGTAACACTGATCTTAAAATAGATTTTGAAACCCTTTCTAATGAGATCACAAAATAAGAAGCTTATAAAAACAATACAAAATCTAAAGCTTTTCAAATGTATGTAACTGCCCTAATATTATATAGCACTTTTTTATCCTTGCATTTTTTTTAAATGTTATGTTCATGTTCATTTTATGCTTTGAACTTTTATTTTAGAAGTGCTTGTGACAATTTTCTATATCACACAAAGTCCTTCACATTACTGACAACTTGTGATGGGAGAAACGAAGCTTTTCAAAATCGACGGCACCTGCTGGTCAAATCGGTGTAACCAACCTTTTACGAACTAATTGCAAGTATGTAATCTCGATTGTAAGTGTAATCTTCATCGCAAAATGTAAACTATTATCACTATGCATGTAAGGCATGAAGACATTAAGATATTGTAAACATTAACTTCATGATTTTCTGTAGAGCTCAGATTGCTTTTAATGCACAAATCGAATGAATGAATAAATGAAAATATTTCCACTGTCTTTGCCTACGTTCCCTGTCCATGCCTAGACCTGGCTCTGTACATTACGATGACCCAAGATAGTTCATGGGTTCACTAGATCAACGCTATCTAGCGGCGAAACATCGGAATTTTGGAACGTTTCGAAAACAAAAAGATCAGTAAATGTTTCAAAGCTTCATGAAGCACCGTTTCGAAAGCACCTATCATACAATATTGACAACACTATCACAGTTTGTTCAGAAAATGATTTATTAAAGGCTTCCAAATACTTAGAGAGAACAAAACAAAGCAGGTCCTGTGTTTATAATGATATCCTATTAAAATTTTAATTAAATCCACACTTACTCCACACAATTAATCATGGCATCAGTAAGGTAAGTTCTATTCAGTTAACTTAAAAGAACTTTTATGAGGTATAGTTATGCAAAATGTCTTCGCATAAGTAAGAATTTGGAGCTGGATTCAGATCTGAAACCCTGAGATGCTGCATCTCATCCTCTGCTGGATGTTGCTGTCATAAGTTTGCTGCATATTCTTCAATATAGTATGACAAAACCCACTGCACTGCAATGGTATCTTTTAAACTTAAACGTACAGTCCGCCTAAAAATTCTATCATTTATTTCAAACCTGTATGACTTATTCTGTGGAACCCACAAAAGAAGATATTTAGAAGAACCTTGGTGATCAAACAGTTTTGGTGACCACTGGCTTCCATTATAAGGAACATTTCTCAAAATATCTTCTTTAAAGTTCTACAAAAGAAAGTAAGACATACAGGTTTTTGGTTGAACTACCCCTTTAATGACCATTACGCTCTACAACATATCTCTAAATCTCTGTGATTGACTCTCTATCATGCTGTCGTAGACAGAGCGATACACACTGAGGACCTCAAGCGCCGTCGGCCGCATGTGAGGCTCATTCCTCTTGCATTCAGTGTAGATCTGAAACAAGTGGAAATGGATGACATCACTTCCCAGGACACTCCCCAACAGGAAACGTGTCACATCTGGAATCTTCCAGATGTCTGTCTTTTCATCGTAACCAGGCATGGCTTCATCTGAGAACTGCACATCCTCGCCGTAAGGCCACAACTGCTCTGGAGCAGCGAAGTCCCCGGTGAGCTCATGGTGACCGCACTTCACCCCTTGACGTCCCCTCTCCACCTCAGGCAGCGCATCCAAGTCGTTGGCCAACAGACGCATGTCAGATGTGAGCAGAAACTGGCTGAGAGTTTTGTGCAGGTCGTTGGAGTCACACATGACACGGATGCCCACCGGACTGCTGTGCAGGTACGCCAGAAAGGCGACGTAGTCTATAGCCAGCTGTAGTCGAGTATGCCAGGAGTTTCGCCAGTGATATCGGTCTTGCGCGAGAGTGGCATCAAGCGTCAGTGCTGATCCCAGAGGGTGATACTCCGTAACAAACACACCATCCTCTTCACACGCCCCTACAAGCGTCACGACGTGGGCGCTCTGCAAGGCACGTAGCATTGTCAGTCCGTGGAGGAAATCATCTGTATACTGCTCTGATGACAAGACGGAGAGCGCCACCTTCTGACCCCGCCACTCTGACAGATAAACCTAGAAAACACAATCATGCAATCATGTGTCTCTGAGGATGTATTAAAGGAATAGTTCACCCAAAAATGAACATTCACAGTCACTTTCCAACGGTGAATAACACATTTCTATAGAGCACTGCAGAGATTATGTATTTTTGTAGGCTAAAACCCAGAAACGCATTTTAGCACTTCAGGTTCCATCATCCTGAATTCAATGGGTTTTTTGGTTAAATGTCTGAAATAGGGTCTGTGGTTAACACAAGCTCAAAATATTTTCACATTTTATTCTACAACATAAAATACATCAGTAATACCCCAACCGTGTTTTTTTTTTTTTTACTTTTACTTGTCTTTATAAAGAACTACAAAGGTTGTCAGGGACATTAAAATCATTACAGTGAACAGGAAAACTCATCTACTCATTAGTCCACTTTCGCCTTGTGTTCATAATCACGCCCTTGCAAAATATTTTAACTTAATCTTTCAGGTTAAATATTTTTTGAATAAAGACTAAAAGAGTTTTTGGAACTGTAGTGATGGCGATGTTGAAGTCATATGACCGTGGTGTAGATTGTTTATAGCCTACATTTACCTTTTTACTTCTAGTGATTATATTTAGGTTTCAAAATTCATAAGTGCTGTTTTAAAATGTTATCATGATGAACAAAACATGTAAGAACCACTAACTTTTGTTGCTCAAATCGCTTATTTTATGCAATAATCCAAACGGCAATGGAAAAACAGACAGAAAGCAACTGAAAAACAGTGGTGGATGCAGAGTGAGCTGCTGCAGGAAAAGTGCACGACCCATGTTATCCTAAACATGAGAAAGCATCATATTAAACGCTTCAAACAAAAGCATTTAGTCTATGGCGACTTGCCCTGTCATGTGCTGTGACAGATGCATGTGCTCAGGGTTGCCAAGTTTGCAGTTTAACTGCACAAAGCCTACATTGATGCATTCACTATAATTGTTTTCATTGCCTTCAAACTGCACATTGTTTGGAGGACAATACTGGGCAGGATGTGGAATAAGAATTTTGTAAACAACGGATTAAAATGTTTTTGTTTTTTACATTAAATTTATATTTTTTGTATAGTTTCCCATTTGTTTAAATGATTAATAAAGAAATTAATGGACAGATGAATTGTTTATTAAAATAATAATTTGTTGCAGCTAAACTCACCTTCTTCACAGCTCCTTGTCCGATGAGCTTCACACGACGGACCTCAGCACGAATTTCGGGGCACTGAAGCCAAGGGGTACAGGTGGTCCTGGTGCCCACTTTAAAGTGGCGAAGCGGGCACTGCGTGTGTGCTGAGAGAGGGTTAGTGTCCTGATACAGGGCATCTAGGTAGAAATACAGCAGCAGATTGGCGCAGAGGAGAGCTGCCAGACAAAGCAAGACCGCAGGCAGTCCACACCTCGTCCCAAAGGTGCCACAGACAGCAGTGCCACCCATAATGACATCTTAACCTGTTTATCAGAACACATGAAGAGATTTCAGACAAATATCACGAGGGAAATGAGAACAGCAGTCAGATTATCAGATATAAGAGATTTGGGTTATAATCGGTAGCATATCACACACAACAGATGACATCCATAAAGACTTTTAAAAAGCTTTCTATTTGAGGAATTTCGAATTTGGGGAGCATTTAGGTGCCTTATTAGAGTGTCAACTGTTATCATAAAATTTGTCAAAACTGCTCACTGCGTTTTTAAACGGATGTCATTTGATTTAAGTACTGAAAACAGAATGGTAATACAAAAGAGACTTATTTTGCCCAGAGGTCGTGTCTAATATGATTTTACGACTATATGCCTTTAACACACCAGTTTGCATTAGTATAATTATACTGGTTCACTAGCCGCAGACACCAATGTCCTCCAGTTCATACGACGTCAAAACAACTGATTTCTGTTGCGCAAGCGTTGAATAATTTGCTGGTTCAGGTTCCAAGCCGTCAGATTCCTCAATGTTGTTGTTCCGGATTGTCTCGCTCTATGAAGTTATTAAGAGAAGCGCACTGTATCCGGAAGACACATCGCCCTCTAGCGCCAGCACAGTGTAACATTGCACTCGCGATCTTATCTTAACTCATCATTAGTTCATAGTCAAGTAATTATTAATTCAGGTATTAGTACATGATAATTCATGTACTGTTATTGTAAAGTGTTACCCAGAAGTCCTCCGAGAAATCTAATCCCGTCCGGATATGTCTAATTGTTTGATGATCCGATTCTCCGACCGCTGGCTCCACTTTCATCACGGATATAAGCCCTAACAATAACATGAAATCAACAAGAATATGCCGATCACGGAAACTCATAGCAGAGTTAGGTAAGAATCTAGTCCTATTGCAGTTTTCTCGATTGTTAATATAACTGATTTTAGTTGGCATTTTTTCCCCCCAAACCATTAATTCAGTATTCAAAACAAAGACACATTTCTCAAAAGTTTAACAATGAGTACGTTAAAAATTAGGTAGCAAAACTGATGACACACCAATCAGAATCTCTGCATCCTAACAACCGAGAGAGCTGAGCCAATCATCTACAGGGGTTTTATAATTAGTTACACATACAGTATAATTACAGTTCAGTACCAGTACATTAGATAATGGAAATGTCACTATTCTATATGTACAGTAAACTGTAGCACATGTTGTACACCTTCAAGCGCGTGACTGTCAAATTGTATTTGTAACCATTTTTTATGTGTACTGCATTTTTGCAGAACTGAGAAATGACTGCCTAGAAATATAGCTAGAGACATAGCTAGTCTTGTGTCAGGAGACCAAGAAACTGCTATAGTACTGTATGCTGTAATGAAATATGGCAGAATGTGCAGAGGATGCTAAATTAGCTTTTTTTATTTTATTTTTTACTGTACTGTATTGTGGTGTAAGCCAAGTTCATACAATTCTTTGGCACAGTTTCTGAAAGCTGACACTCAAACAGCAGAAGCACACACCAAATCTGCAAAACCATACACTAATTCTCGGCCTTCTCGGCCTTTTCATAAAACACTTTTTGCAAAACACAACACACGAATCTCTATGTAACACACAAAAATCTAACAGGAATTAATATTATGGCAAAGGTGTTTGCAAATGTTTGCTTTTGAGATGTGTTTGTGATATTTTGAATGCAGTGCTTCATTTTGCAAGAGATGTGAGGCATTTTGTGTGTGTTCTTGGATTCGTGTGTAAAGTTTTGAAAAAAAAAGAGGCATATGCTGCGGCGCCCGGGGAGCAGTTGGGGGTTCGGTGCCTTGCTCACTCCCCCCACCTCGAACCCGCAACCTTTGTGTTACGAGTCCGACTCTCTAAAGCCACGACTTCCCCCATATATATATATATATATACACACCCTCATATATACACCCTAACCCTAAAATGAAAATCCTAGAATCGCCCTGCTTCTAGCACTGGTAGTGCAAATTAATATTTTAAAAAGCAAGATATTTATATTTTCATATCAGTATTAAAAGTATTCATATTTCAAGATAACTATTTCTGTTACTAACGTAGGCCTACTGATGAACTTCAACAAGCCTCTGGAGTCAATGTTGATATTATTGTATTTCTTTCTAATGTCAGGAAATTCAAAAATATTTATTGCTCTTAAACTTGCATTAAACGTGATTATACCATCTAAGTAGCCTATGTAATTTTAATAGAACCGCATGTCTTCTTTAGTGATACAAGCTCAGAAACATTTATAACCTGTTGAAGTGTTTTACGTTGTGTATTGACTTGGTGCAGTGATGGCTATTAAAATTTTATTTATTTTATTTTATTATATTATATATATATATATATATATATACATATGGAGTCAATGTTTCAAAAGCATCGTCGAAATGTGGAAAAAAAAAAATTCACACTTTAGGTGCTTTTGTTATTAGTTATACACAATATGTTCTTTAACCCACACGTGATTTATCTTTTATTCATAAGAGAACACAAGTCGGTTTCCACGGATAGCGTTTATTAAATATTAAAGCATGTGGTGTCGAATTGACACCCTCGTGCCACAAGCCCTTTATCTGAAGATCAGGCAAGACCTTTCATGTCAGGGCAATGCACTTTACCTGGGCCACACTCTAATTCAAGGTAAACAGAAATTGTATAATGTAGGTTTTTTTGACGGCAGAATGGAGCGACGCACATCTAGGGCTGAGGAGGAGCGAGCGGAGAGGAGAGTGAGGTTCCGCGTGGCGTCGGCGCACAGCGGTCGCGTGCTGCAGGAGGTGTTCAGAGAGCACGCGCTCGAAGACTCCGCGGACACGGACACGGACACCACCGTGAGCTCAGAGCCAGAGCGCTCCACCTCGCCCGCCGTCACGGAGGCAAACAGCCATTTGAGCGGCCCGATGGGGCCAGAACCGGAGAACAGCGGCAGCGAACCGGACGAGCTGCTCATGTACGCTAGTGCAAGCAAGGAGAAGCTTTTCACCGGAAAACGCGTGAACATCTTCAGTAAGAACGGAACTATTCGAGGCGTGAGAGATAAAGTCAGCGCGGGACAGGTGTTGTTTAACAACCTCTCCCAAATGTATGGGGTACGTTTTATTTGGAGCAATATAATTAATACATTTATTGATGTTTAATACAGTTGTGAAAATATTTTTCTGTAGGCCTATAAGAGAAGAAAGGGAGAATGGATGGATGAGTTTTTAATAGCTGGAAAAAGGAACTCAGTGAGCCTTATAATGACTGACTAATTAGGCTACTGTGAGAAAGAGGCTATGTTTACCGAATAACATGTCCAGGTTATATTTAACCTAAAATCACAAGAAATATTAAATAATAACATGCTTAGAAAAAGAAAGATTTGTGCATTGATGACAGTTAAGCACAAGAATATAGGCATTTTTATACAGAATATAATTATTTTTCCTTTTGATTTGAGGGTGTTTTCATGAGATGCACCCAACAGTTGTCATATTCAGAGGAAAATTATGACTTTACTTCATATATATCACCCATTAACAGATTGGTATAATAATATAAGAATTATTACATTACCATGTAAAAGTATTACTAAGGGTTACAACCAGTAAAAAGTTTGGACACACCACACATTCTTTATTATTACTTTTTAAACATTTTAAACTACATTAAAACTATTTATATGTGGCACAATTTATATTTGTGTAGAAACTTTTAGATCAAAGATTTTAAAATAAATAAGGTTATAAATTCATGTTCAAACTTTACCGCTAGAGTACATATTTTTCACTTCAATCTTTTGGCATAGTGTTTTCAGTGTATAATGTTACTATTATTAACCTGTAAATTACTTACTCTTGAAGAAATATATATATATATATATATATATAAATATTTATCCTAATTCTATAACAAGTTAATTTCAGATTTGTAAACTATTTCATCATTAATCTATAATGTGTGTCTAATAAATTAATAAATAATGTGTGTCTTTCAAAGGATTCCCTTATTATGAACCGGCCTAAAAGACCATGAGATTTTGTCTGAAAACAGCCCTGGATGTCCTGCAGCAGAGGATGCTGGGTCACAACGTCACCCTGGGTGGATGTGCAACAGGCTTGAGTGTGTGAAAGTGATGATCAGCGGCCAATGTTTTTTGTTTATAAGTGCTTCTCAATATTTGTGTATATTGTAGTTCTGTAAATATATTTTATATTCACGTTTTGCGAAAGCATTTTTGAAAAAAGGAACCGAAGGTATCTGTAAAGTCAAATGGTTGCTTGGAGCATTCTGTTTGCCTATGTTTGAGGTGTCTTTTCTTTATTTTGACCTTTCATTGTTTGTGATTAAATTATTGTGATTTTTTTTAGACAATAAGATGTTTTAATCAAGTTTTATACATATTATACATACAGTTTTAATGCAATAAAAACAAAAAAGTCATACAAACCTTTTTATTTTTGTTCATAATTTTTGGAATATAAATTTTTGATTCATCTAGTATCAGTTATGTGTGCATTCTAATATCAAAAATTATTTTGCTAACCCGGCTCTTCAAGTTAGCTTTTTGTTTTTTATTCATCTGATAAAAATGTACAGTAACTTTGATTTGCCTCCACTTTGACAAGCAATGTGAATTATGTGCAAACTGGATTTTCATCTGATCTTAGAGTGATAATCTCTTATAATAGTTGAGATTTCAGAAGACAGTTAGGAGAGCGAAGACCCCGTACAGAAGAGCGCAGGGATAGGCCACCAGCAGCTGCTGCCCACTCATGTCAAGAGTGGAACTGAAGATCTTAGAAGCTGATAGACTGCACCAGCTAATCACAAACAAGGCCAACAGCGTTCCCAAGAGCCCTCTGCATTAAAATAAAAGCCACTTGTTATTCACATGCAACATACTTGAAATTATACAGTCTTCAAAATAAAGGTTCCAAAAGGGGTTTTTTGAATTTTGGGTTCCCCAAAGAAGTTTTCAGTAAACAGTTCTTTAAACAGCATTGTTTTGTAGTTGTAGTGTGAAGTACATTTGAATAATCTAAAGAACCATTTTCCAGTATAAAGAACTTTTTATTCAACAGGTTCCATGAATGTTAAAGGTCTGTTCACACCAAGCATGATAATTATAACGATAACAATAAAGACATAGTTTAAAAAACTTCTAAAGTTAAAAGAATATCAAGAGTCCACACCGCAACTATAATGATAATGGCACAGAGGAACAATGTGATTTGAATCACTTTCAGAACGCTGATAAACAATAATAAAAAACGTTAATAGCCAATCAGAATCCATCCTGCTTTAAAGAACTTGAACATCTAAAGAAATAGTTGACCCAAAAATGAAAATTTGCTGGAAATTTACACATACTCAAGCCATCCAAGATGCAGATGAGTTTGTTTCTCAACAGAACAGATTTGGAGAAATGTAGCATTACATCACTTGCTCACCAGTGGATCCTCTGCAGTGAATGGGTGCCGTCAGAAAGAGAGTCTAAAGAGCTGATAAATACATCACAATAATCCTCAAGTAATCCACACGACTCGTTATTATGGATTATGGACTCGTATTTTGGCCAGAAGTGACAGTTTAAAGTTAAAACGTCTTAATGATAGATTTGTTTCTTATAAATGCGCAGCTTTTCGGTTCACAAGATGTACAATGATGGACTGGAGTCTTGTGGATTATTGTGATGCTTTTATCAGCTATGTGAACTCTCATTCTGACTGTACCATGGTGCATTGGTTTAGATGCTAATATATTTATGGTTATAGTTATCATTCTTGTATGGAAAGAATGAGTGGAAAGAGTGTATGGAAAATGTAAAACTGTGTTTTTTTTATTATTTGTTGTGGCTATAAAACGCTCAAAGAAATGGTAAATGTTTCTATACAGTTATGGATACTCACTGAAGGGAATAAAGAACAGCAAAGGCAGAGAGTCCCACCATTGGAAGGAGGCAGTATCCCAGCACACTCACCACACAGCCACAGGATATGCTGTAACTGCTCTTCAGGTTCAACAGCATGTACATCCCCACACATCCCAGAGCACTGATGCCATACACATACCCAAAGTGTGCTTGCCCTGCCTGCCGAGAGAATACACACACAAATCCACAGGTACATGCTCTGGACATTACATATATTTTCATTTCCTCTGCAATACAATTTACTGTGTACCTCTAGTTAATGGTTTCACAAAGGTTCAGGATGTGCCATCAATAGTGTGGCTCCCAGAGCAATGCAGAAGAGAACAGGCCCAGTGAGGTCTGTCTCATTCATAATACTGCCATCAGCAGGCTTCAGTGGATTTAACACAGTCAGAGTCTTCTGCCAAATATGGTCAAAGTTGATGCCCTCAACTCTGTGGAAAAAAAAAATACACATATTTTTAATTAAAAAAAAAATATTTATATTAAGTTTGATTAATGCATAAAATGCCCTTTCTTTTTTAAAGCTGAAGTTTGCAGTGTTAAAGGGATAGTTCACCCAAAAATGAAAATTTGTCTCATGTTTTTCCAAGCCTGTATGAGTTTCTTTCTTTTGTTGAAGACAAATATACAAAAAGAGAGAGAGAGAGAGAGAGAGAGAGAGAGAGAATATGTTGGTAACCAGTTGCTGGTAACCATGGACTTTAATAGCATTTTTTTTTTGCATACTATGGAAGTGAATACCGGGAACATTCTTCAAAATATCTTCTTTTGTGTTTATCAGACGAAGAAACTCATGCAGGTTTGGAACACCTTGAGGGTAAGTAAATGATGACAAAATGTTCATGTTTGGGTTGACTATCCCTTTAGGGTGTGGTCACATTTGAGAAATATCTGCAAAATTTCGCAGGAAAAAGGTCGATTGTCGATAGTTTTGATGTATGATGCACAGCTCACACAGAGGTCACTTTCAAATCAATTAGAATTCACATAAAGAACTTTAAACCTGTTGCGAAATCTGCGTGGGGAAATTCTTCACCTTCACACGAAATTCCCAGTTGTGTGTATTACTTTATTTTGCAACGCAGAAGTAAGCTATTTTCTGTGAATGTGCGATACTTCCACTTCATTAGCCGCTATAGGTAAATAACAAGAAGAATAACAAAGTGCAGTAAACAGTACAACTATTTGCTCTTCAAACCAGTGTTTATGATTATGAAAAGACATTAAAATAATATAACAAATACCAGTGTGCAGTATCAAAAAGCATAAACTGACTGTTTTACGACAGGTAAACAGATGGATAAAAATGAGTGAATTTAGCCTATGAAAATGTGTGACTTGACTCGCCCTTGACCCCACCAATGGCTTAAGTTGTGGTGGGGCAAGGTTTTTTTTTTCCGTTTTGAAAAATAAAATAAAAAATCACACACAGACACATAAATATATATATATGTGTGTGTAACTTTTTTTTTTTTTGCGGTTCTGTTCAGTGGTGCAGAATTACACACTTCAGCTTAAAGATGTTTTCTTATAAATTATATTTATTACCTTCTAAGAGTGGCGGCTCTTCCTCATATGAGTCTATATATTCTGTTTGCTCGGGTGGCGCTACAGGCTGATACACTTGTCCACTATAAGATGCTGTAGTGGTATATTCATCTGCTAAATGTGCGGAATTATCACTGATGATCAGACAGTAAATAATGAATCAACATTTACATTGCACACAGAAACACATTAGCTGATATACCTTAATAAATGAGATATCAAACACATGTATGCATTTACACTTACACTTCATGGTATTCTGGATTGACGTAGACTGGATCATAGCCATATACATCCTCCTGCTGACCATCCATATAATATCCAGACTGACAGAAGTCTTGTTCAAAGTTTTGGAAGTCTCCCGTTCTGCTTAAAGTAATGAGGAATGTCTACACAAGTTCATTTGTGGTATAAAACAGTTCTGAATTTAAGTTCTTACCTTTACGTGTCCTTTAAAGTCAGGGTTTGATTTGAAGATCTTGGTTTGTTTGCACCGAGTCTTTGCTTGGTCACTGAGCAGCTGTTTTGCTGTATGTGTGTATGAGATGCTATTAATAGTCTTCTATATTTGCTTGTGGGACATGAGCAGCACTGTCAGTGTGCTGGCAGGTCATGTTGTAAAGCCATCCTGATGATCTCTGGATCTACTGACTGATGACATGCTCATCACTCAATGTTCAGTACAACTGCTGTACAATTAAATCATATCCTCTGTATCTGTTCATGAAAATGAACACAGTTACAGAAATAAAGGTAGGACAAAAAATGACATTCTTGTTATTTGAAAATATACACCTTAAAATAAAGAGACAAACATCAGTAAAGATTATGTCTAACACTTTATAACAGCAAAAAATGCAGCATCTTTACAGTATAGGCTCAATGTTTGCGAATGTTTACAAAAATGTCTAAATACAGCATTGACTTTCACATTCGTTTTTTTTAGGCAAAGGAACCAATACAGTACATTTCCCCTAATATGAATAACCTCTTAATGAAACAGTATAGTATTTTTTAGATTTTCAAAAATACATCATTACTTAGAAAAATTACCTTACATGATAACAATTTCACCATCTTCCCATTAAAATGTTATTTTAGTTACATTTAGTTATGTTATTATTCGATGTCTATGAAACAATCCAGCTATAAAAAAGGCATCAGAAGACATAAATCAAAAAGGTCAAAGTTATGTCCATGTTCAGTAAACTGCTAGACTATTTTTTTATATTAAATACTGTTTGAATTGTTTGTTTGCACTAAAAATGACAATTTAATATTGTGGGTGGTTTTATGCCTAGACTTTTTAAGTCCTCCTGAATATTATTTCACTCAGTGTCCCTCATGTCTAATCTTCAATGCCAACATTATCAGTGTTGATAAACAGGCATTTCTACATTAAAATTCTTATAATTTGTAGTTTAGACATTCATGAACACTTCCAGGTATTTCATAGCTGATATGCAATATTTAACTTATACTTTGACATTATTTAGCTCTCTTAACTGTGATGAGGTCAGATGATCTACAGGTCTGGCAGAACACTGGAGCTCATACTGGAAACTGGTGCTTGGGTTAAAAAGCTTGCATGGGATTCCTTCTCTTCATTCCTGTGGAAAAGACAGACAGATAACTGCAAATTATGTCTATGTGCGATAGGGCAGAACAAAAAGTCTGCAGAAAGTATTCACCGCCATTGTTTTCCTCTTTTTGCTGCTCTGCAAAGTCAAAGTGATGTTTTGAACTGACATGTTTTTAAACTTTTGTATGAATAATAATTGATGACGTTCAGAATTATATTAAAAATAGATGACTTGATTGATAAGTGTCCAATCTTATTTGATCAACCAGAAAACCATAGATTTGTAGGCATGTCTCACCCTGGACTGCTGCTACACTGGTTCCCATCAGACTCTGTCAGAGCTGGAGCATGAATTGGTTTCCTTCAGAATTGTAGAAAACAAAAGTGCCATGAAAATACACATTTGTTACTCCTTTGATTCAGTGTCCTGAAAGTTCTGAATCTGCTTTTGATACTCATAAATTGAGAGGTGCAAATAAGCTCAAGGTTTAAATTTTTATTATAATTTTTTTTTTACTATGTCATTATTACTATCTTTGTCTCACCAACTCTGCTTTTTCTTTCAAGGCAGATGATACCATACCAAAGAGATTATGACAAATTTACAATTTATCTTAATATGTAAGATAATAATAAATACTTACTTTGATTTCAGGTTATTCATTTTAGCAAAGACCAGTCTGAGAACTCTCTCTCTTTGCTCCCAGGTCATCTCTGATATGTTCACTTATGCTTTCTTCAGATTGCTGATGAAATAACACAAAAAAGCATCTTTTAGTTATCATTTCATCAGAAGAGAATTTTGAAAATTGTCTAAAAACACAAAATAAGCATAAGATCCTCACCCTTTTTCAGCCTCGTCCATACCAATGGAAGTGCTGTGGGGTGTTCTGTTGATGGTGTGAATGTGAGCGTTCTCCCTTCTGCCTGATAGGAACTCATCCATCCGCCTGCTATGATTTACTTCTGCTTCCTGTCTGAAATACATAATGTCGCTTATAATATAATTTATGTAAAAAAGGCTTGAAGGTTTTGCAGTAAACTGGAGCCTGGATCTCTTGCTTGTTAACTTTTATTTCTAGAATTAATTAGGGGTGTGTGATATTGAGAAAAAAAATTCTATCTTAATATTTTATGGGATTTTATCGAATTGATTGAAATCAGCTTTGACAACATCCATCTTTGCACCGCAGTAGTAGCACAGAAGCTGCATCTAAAGTGGCATTTAGATGTATTTACACAGACTGTTTAATACAGTTCAGATGTGACTTGAATGCATTTCCTACTGCATTTACAATTACATACATAATGAAAAAAAAAAGTATTATTTTTTAATATTTCATTATGAAATTAAAATGAACGTTTATATATGAAACTAAAACCACCAGTCGGTGGCGGCAAGTCACTGTCTGAACGAGTTAAGTTATTGAGTCATTCATTCAAATGATTTGTGCAAAAAGCTAATTAATTCAGTCACTGAATCATTCACTGAATTCATTTGTCCAAAACGTGAATTTATTCAGAAACGAAACACCGATGTGTTTTGTTGGAGACACAAAACAGTTCTTCTGTAGTTTTATTTGGAAATTTTTGTTGAAAAAATAAAGCAAAACCAGAGAATATTGTGTCTAAAATGTAACTCAAAATGCTAACTTATTTTTTATTGAATTATTTTATTAAATCAACACGACATTCACAATAGTGCTGATAATCAAGAAAAACAGCACTGATATAAATATAAGACAAAAATCATGGGGGGAAATGACCCTGTATATCCTGAATTTTGGGTGCATTCAAACTGCTTTCTATCAAATGTGACCCTGGAGCACAAAACCAGTCTTAAGTCACTTGGGTATATTTTTAGCAATAGCCAAAAAAAAAAACATTGTATGGGTCAAAATTATCAATTTTTCTTTTATGCCAAAAATCATTAGGATATTAAGTAAAGATCATGTTCCATGAAAATATTTTGTAGATTCCCTACCGTAAATATATCATAACTTAATTTTTGATTAGTAATATGCATTGCTAAGAACTTCATTTGGACAACTTTAAAGGCGATTTTCTCAGTATTTTTTTTTTTTTGCACCGTCAGATTCCAGATTTTAAATCTCAAAAAAACTGAACCTTATGACTGGTTTTGTGGTCCAGGGTCACAAATAGGCTGCATCATGCAGTGAAGGTGTGTTTTTTGCAAAGAGAGTGTATGAATGAATGAATAGTGAAGTGCACCTTTGCATTAGCATCTCCTGCTTCACGTGGTTCAGAGCCTCATAGAACAGGATCTCCATGTCTGAGCGCTGCTCCACTATGCTGCGGGCTATTCTCTTCACTCGGCTCAGCTCTCTGTCCTGTACGCTCAGGAGCTTCTGCAGTTTGTCCAGCTCTACGCCGCTGGCCTGACTCCTGACTGCAGCAAACTCCTTGATATCAGCCTTCTCCCACTCAAACTCAGCCACCCTGCTGGCCAGGGCCTGCTCCAGCGTGAACACCTTGGCCCTCAGCCCAGAAACTGTGCTCCGCTGGGCTGTAAGCTTAGATATGGTGTCATTTGAGGTGTCCTGACTCATCTCCTGCAGGGTGAATGAAATTGTGGGTTCCAATGAAACTGGTCATTATAAATGTCTGCTACTTCATAGGCAAGCTTTATAGTAGACAAGGGTCTAATTAAGCTAATTTTGAATTTCATTTTATTTGTGCATGTGTGCATTTATGTGAGTGCCCAAGAAAGTTGTAATTATAATTTTTAATGATGTAGTATAATAAATAATATAGTATACATAAATTATAATTAATACAATATAATAATGTAACAAGTAAAATAATTGTAATAATGTAAGTCTTTACTGTCACCTCTAATGAATTTTATGCATCCTTGCTGAATAAAAGTATTAATTTCTTTCAAACAAAAAAAGAAGAAAAAAAAAAACTGACCTCAAACTATTAAATGGTAGTCTTGGTGAACTACAGTGTGTCTCACCTTATGCAGACTAAGGATGTTGTTCTCTTCTGCCAGCGCTGCATTTCTCTTCCGCAGATCCTCCACCTCTTTGATGTGGTAACCCAATGCCTTATTTAGTCGCACATTCTCCTTGAACATGGAGCGAGATGCGTCATCCAGCTGTCTGATAGGGCCGAGATGGAGGATGTCATCTCATTTATCTCATGCAAAATGTATCTCACAAACAGTTCCAAAGGCATCAGGTAGAAATGTGTAGTGGTGCTGGGATACTGGGAGAGATGGAGAAGATACATACATGATGGCTTCATTGTGAGCTCTTTCTGCAAGCACAGCAATCTTTTGCTCAGCTTCCTTCTCTAGATGAACCTAATGAATGTAGAATGAGAGAGACACTGAGAGAGAGAATGAGGAAGATTTTGCTGAAATGTTTTTTAGTATATACCTTATTATTGAAGAACTTTTGCTCCATTCTTGCAAGTGTTTTCTTGTGTTCTAGATCTGCATTGTCCATAGTTTCTTTCATCTGTACAAACAATGGTGATGTTATAACAGACATAGCACTCTATACTAGTACCTCTGCAAAACTGTGTACATGAAATAAATAGAGTAAATTATACATTTTTAAGTTCTTGCTCCATTTGGGGCTTCTTCTTAAGGAAGTCATTGATGATCTTAAGCTCCTCTTGAATCATGTTGAACTCGCTAGATCTCTTGTTAAACTTCTCCTCCAGCTCATTGATCTTTAGTTTGTATTGAGCGGCCTGTGATGACAATCAGTGAGAAACGCTGAGCAGTCAGCAACAAGGCAGTGAGAACACGAATGACCTGATCAGTTCCTGTTAAAAAATAACACTGGACTGGGAAAAACTGTGTTTAATATAAAAATGTATCTGTTGAGTATTATCTATTATCCATTATTAATGAAAGAAATGCCAGTGTTCAAATTAATGTTCACAAAGATGATACTTTTAGTTATGTAAAAATGGCATTATCATTATCGTTCACTTGTATACAGTTGCTGTATAGATGGAATTAATTTTTTTTAAGTGAATGGCTATTTATCTATTTAAATGGATGACTTTCTATTTTTCAAACATTGTATTTTCATGATTTGTATTGATGGTGTATTTTCAATTATTGCAATCTTTGTTTTAAAACATTAATCTGACAAAATAAAGCTCAAACCACAATAAGAACAAAGACTGAATTTATCCTTGTTTTCCCAAATGAGTAATGACATTTCTTACCAAGTTCTCTTTTTCCTGAGAGGCCCTTGTTTTCTCAAGCTGTATTTGTTGTTCCAGTGCCATTATCTGAGAAAACAACATTTTAAAGGGTTAGTTTACCCCAAAATGAAAATTGTCATAATTTACTCACTCCCAAGTTGTTCCAAAACCCATAAGACTTTCGCTCGTCATCTTCGAAACACAAATGAAGTTTCAGTGCCTCTATCGAAAGTGTATTATATAAAAACTTAAAAAATTCATTAAAGGGGTCATATGATGTTGCTAAAAATAACATTATGCGTGGCTGACTCTTAACTTTTATAAAGAATATCTCTTTGGATTTGAGACTTTAGTCTTTGCAACTTTACAGATCTTCTTTATGCACCAAGAGCTTGTAACACTCCAAAGAGAAAGGAAAAATTGAAATCGCATCATATGACCCCTTTAAGAGATCATAAATGTCCTCCATAGGAACCAAAAGGTTTAATAATCCAAGTCTTCTGAAGAGACACAATCACTTTATATGATGAAGTCGAAGTTTAATTTAGGCTTTTATTCACATATAAACATTGATCAATGTACATACATAGAGCACATCATACAGTATAAATGCTCAACTGCACTTGCTTGATGCGCAAGAACAAACCTCATTGGTTCTTGAGTGTGACGCAAACATGTTTCAATTTATAATATGTGCAACGTTTATATAAAATTAAACCTATTACATAAAGCAATCGTGTCTCCTCAGAAGATTTGTATTAAACTGCTTGATTCATATGGATTACTTTTATGACCTGCTTTTTAAACTTTTGGAAGCAGATGATGACAATGATGAAACAATATGAGAATAAGACTTGAAAAGAAAACCATGTGTGTATGTACTGTAGCTGTAATAATCAAATGCATTAAATGCCTTCTCCTCGTTTTGCAGGTCTTTGTTCCTCAGAACAGCGATGATCTCGATGCTGTTCTTCTCAGTGTTGTGCTGTAGATCAGTGAGCTGCTGGGTGATTTTGCTCAGTCTTCGCGCTGTTTCACGGTAACGTCACTCCACGCGTGAACCCTCCGTCAGATCACACCTGGCCTCCCACAGAGCCGCGTTTGCTTTTGCCCTCTCTGTATCAGACTCCTTTTCTCGTTTTGACTCTTGCTTGGATCTTTCTTTCCTTTTCTATATGTATATATATATAGATAGAGAGATGCGAATAATCAAGATCATAAAGTAAACTATGCAGTCAGATATACTTTTCCAGTTATTAAAACTAGTTGGATTAGCAGTTTTTCCAAACAAACGCAAGGATATATTGGAATCAACGGACAGATCAATGCGTTTTTACTCACCCTTTTCCTTTCTTTCATTTTTTAATCGGCATCTTCTCTCTGTGCTTCGATCAGCAGCGTTTATTGACCTGCTCCTGCAGGACTAGTTTGTTTAGGCCTGTTGCCATGGAGACTGTTGCACGTCACATGGGTCGGTATAAACAAGCTGGAAACTTTTTATTTTCCATAAAATCTTTAATAACCTTTATTGTCAAGGTTTTTAAATCTTAACTATTTTTAATGTTGTATCAAACATTTGTGACCAACTGAAATACGGATGAAAAATTCTCTTTACTAATTATCAATAACATAATGCAGCCTTCCACGTAAAAGAATACAGACCCCCGCACTGCAATAAAGTACTGTACATGTACTTCACACTGTAATAACGCACATTTTAGAGTAAAAAGCTATTATCTTTTTGTAGTGAACGTGACCATTATATTGTGGCCTCATTCTCTTTTTAGATATGCATAACTCATGTCCATATCAGAAACTGAAAACAAACCATTTGTATTGTTAATAAGCATTCACCTACTTGCACAAAAAAAGCACACAAACACAAAAGCTCTTACAAATAGCTGCTTATTTATTTACCTCATAAAAATATTGTTAAAACTTAGCAAAAACAGACATAATAAAAATGTATTTTGCAACTATAAGAGGCATAATAAACAACCCAACACTGCAACTCCATAAATAACACAAAATCACAGTTATATAAAATCTCACACCTAAAATCAGAATGCACACATATATCTAAGCACACTCGCATAACACACAACCATTCTAAAATATCACCCCATATAAAACACTCAGAGGACATGTCACATTCAACGAACAGTAAGGCTTTTTGAAATGTTGAGTCGATTCTAGCTCACTGCCAGGGTGCTCTCCTTCCCAACACATGATTGCTGACTTTCTGCAGAAGAAGGATGGCATGCATTAGAAATGTTAATCAAACTGGTCATGTGTCTATCTGAAATGCTTGAAACAATATTGATTTAAAAACTGTCAGTATTACTGTGCCTGGACTATTGTGTGTAACTCCTACTCCAGAACAGCCTGTATACCTTGTTAAAGAGTTGAGCGTTGAGGCGGTAGGAATGGTACTCCGCCCGTCTCCTTTCCTCCTCCCTTCTCTTCTGGACCTCAGGAAGTTGAGCGTATTTCCTAAGGGAATAGATATTTATTTGGCAATTAAAGTGTAAAATTATTGGAGTCAATAATATCCATATAAAACGTTGAAACAGAGTGTAGTTGAAGTCCTTATGCCTCAGACTGGGCCTCTCGAATCAGAGATATCACACATAAAAATAGAAACTTTAAAATAAAAGATGGATATAGATCTGTATTATTTTAGTAGCATTGACTATTATATTTTTTACTATTTTTATTTTTGCATTTACTATTATAGTTTTTGTTAATATTTTGAATTGAATTTCATTTTTATATTTAGTGTTTTAATTTTAATTTTAAAGTGTTAGTAATTCTGTTTTGTGTTTTTGTCATTTCTACTAGTTTAAAAAAAAAAATAGGTCTATATAGTTTTATGTTTAAGTTACTTTAGTACTTAAATATGTCTTACACTGACTTAAACTAAACAAAAATGAGAAATGTTGTCTTGGAAAGTTGCTAAAAGGTTTTTATGGTTTTCTTTTTATGGCTTTACTTTTAGTTAATGTTAATAAAACTGATAGACACACTCAAACACAAAACAAACACACATATTATTACCTCCTGAGTCTGTCTGTTCTGTCTATTCTCTGACTGTGTGATTTCCTCCCTACCCAACTGAAAGCATGTAGAAGGCACAAAACAACTTGCAAATAAAACATCAAAAAGTCATTTAAATCTGTTAAATGACCCATACATGCACAATTTGGTAATATGTGCTGTGTCTGTGTCATAAACCATCTAGATGGTTTGGAAATGAGATAATGGATACTTACTCTTTAGATCTTTGGACCATCTCTTTTCTTGGAACGACTCGTTTATGGGGTACTGGAGCTGCTGACACGGCATGTTTTAGTTTACATCTTAATGCAAGCTGAACCAAGCTTGTAAAATATATACTGAACTGACTACTCATACTACTAACACAAGTAATCTTATGGTATAAGGTCACCTGCTCTGTATGGACATGATGGTGCGGGGCAACTGAAGAGCTCTTCTCTCTCTCTGTTGAAGACCGCCTGTAACCTCCTCTCTTCAACCAGCAACCCCAGACGCTTCATCCGCTCCCGTGAACGAGATACAAACTCCGGCCGATGGAGCTCCAGAGCTTCCTGTAGGAAACCCATCAATGCAAATGCTCAATGTTAGATTAAAATCAACAGTCAACATCCGTGTACTCTCTAAAACCACACAGCTATGGTCCAAAATGAACACTAGCTCCAAATCAGGCCCAAGCTTCAAATCAGAGTAAAGGCACGTTTACACCAGTAATGATAATATTAGCACTCACATCTTCAGGTGTGATATTATATTCCATTTATAATAAGCGCCTGCTGCATTTATGTTGTCTGCCACTTTAAATGCTCAAGCTTTTTAAAGTCGGATGGATTATGATTTGCTGTCAATGTTTTTATCATTCATCAGCTGGAAAATATGTTCTAAAAGTGATTCAACAATGATATTGTTCTAGTTATCATTACACTTATCGTCCTTGGTGTGAACAGGCTTTAAAACGTGTAAATAAAACAGTTGCTTGTCACACCTGTAGTGAAATTCGAACAAGAGCTGAGGGTTTGTCACTGATATCTGTCTCCGTAGCTGTTATGGACTCTTGCTGGTTCTGTCTCTCTCTTAGAGGTTCTCTGGTCGTTTCTCTCCAGGGTTTGGTTCTACTGTAAGGCTCAAACCAGGCTTGGCTTGGGCAAGGTGCTGATTCACTCTGTGGCTGGTTTTCCTTGCGACCATCACACCTAAGCTCATCAGCGGAGACAAACCATGATACACCTTAAAGAGAACGCGAAATATAAAACAGTAAGAGAAATGGAGAAAAAGATCAGTTGCAGAAACATGCTGTGTCCGTGGGCTTGTAATATGCACCGTTTGGGTAACGGGTCCGGATGCTCTTGTTGCTGGTGTCTTTCTTCAGAGCAGTCAGGGTTTGGATGGGTTTAGATGTGGAAGCAGTGGAGATGGGAAAGCCACTCTGAATGTCTCTGCCAAACGTGTTTGTTAAATGGACATTTTTGAAAGCACCTGGTGAGGGAAAGATGGTGCCTACGTCCCGAGTGTGTCTGCGGGTGCCATTTATAACAATTTCCAAATCACCTGCAAAAAGAATACAAAATCCCACACAACATATTTTGTTACAGTTTTTTTTGTTGCAATTTACACGTCGCTTAGTTTAAAAGTGGACCGTTGTTGTGTAACTGACCTGCCTGTACACCTTTGCTGACCAGTTTGACTTTTGACCTTTTGGAATTGAGGTTTTTGGAGATACCTCTTTGAGAATGATGGGAAAAAGTGCTTGAAGATGATAATGAATCAGCAGAGACCTGGAACAATAACAGAAGATTGGACAGTTAGATAAGGAAAGGATGATGGTCTCTCAGTAAAAAATGCAGAGAATAAGCTACTACTGTAATTCACACCAGATATTCTGTACACATAATACATGAGTGATTATTTTGCCGACAGTATAAAATGAATAATAGGATTTTTAATGGAGTTTTTATTTAGCTATTGGGTGACATTGTCCCCAGACAATGTCATTAAACTAGTTTCGCAACCTCTTCCAGTCCCAGTGAGAGCACTAAGACAGTATATGTAGTTGAAATGATGAGAAAATGAGTATTTCTGTTAATCATTTCAAACTGATAATTTGTATGAATTGATTCAAAACTCTTATTAAACAATTCTTTGCATCACCACTCAAAAATGTTTACTGAAGTCAGCACATGGCAGCAAAAAGCAGCATTTTTCACACATTAAAACATTTTAGTAAAAACATGCACTACCTTTCAAAAGTTTGGGGACAGTACGATTTATTGCTTGTTTGTTTTAAAGACTTTTAAATACTTTTATTCAGCAAGGACTCATTAAATTTATCAAAAGTGATAATAAAGATTTCTGTCAAATAGATGTTGTTCTTGAACTTTCTATTCATCAGAGAATCCTGAAAAAAAAAGTTACACAAAAATATTAAGCAGCACAAAAGTTTTCAACATTGATAATAATAAGAAATGTTTCTTGGGCATCAAAACGGCATATTAGAATGATTTCTGAAGGATCATGTGACACTGAAGCCTGGAGTAATGACTCCAAAAAATTAAGCTTTGCTATCACAAAATTAACATTAAAATTACATTAAAACAGAAAACAGTTTTAAATTGAAACATCATTTTACAATATTACTGTTTTCACAGTGTATTTGGTTAATTAAATGCAGCATTGGTGAGCATAAGAGGCTTCTTTCAAAAACATAAAAAAAAAAAAAAAACATCTTACCGACCCCAAAATTTTGAATAGTAGTGTATGCAGGAAAATACTGCTGTTCAGTAGTATGTATTGTGTTATTAGTGAAAATGATTATCAGATTTTAGCTCTATTTTACTTCTTACTTTAAACTGAGCTACAAAGTGTTTGTGGAAATCATTGTTCCTCTTGTTTGAAACAAATTATAATTTTAAGTAATTTTTTAAAAGCTAAGAGGCAATCTAAAAACAATGTGAATTTAATATGGTCAGAAGGCTAAACATAGTGAGATGTGTAACAATGTAGCGTCTTTCTTTTCAATCTGTTGATTATCTTTCAAAACAGTCTGTATAAAAGAATTCAATCAAGCAAAGTCTTACTGTGGAGTCATCCGTGCTCACATCATCGGTAGCAACAGAGATGGCAGCATGTTTAGTACTGGGTTTCCTTCGGACAGTTTTCTGCATATTGATGGTGTTGTAAAGTCTGAGCAAGCTGTCACTGCTTTTCAGTCCTTTACTGGTGACCCAGTGAGGTCCAAAAGCTTGCAGCAGCCGCTCTGTGTCAATGGTGGACAGGCTACTGCTTGTCTCCACACTCGCAGACTCATCTCTCTCGGCAGGACAGCGATGCACTCTCTCCTGGCTCTCTTCATGCTCAAGCCAAGCTTGTTGTGGAGTCACTTCTAACTGGACTCTTTCTCTTTGCTCTCCTCCCTCTGTGGTCCCATCCTCTCGATCACTCCTCCTGTAACACTCTCCTTTCCTGCTGTCTGCTAGTTGTATAGTTTGGTCTTTTGGAGAGGTATTGTGAATGAGACGAGACAGACGCTCTAGTCTATCAAGCAGAGACGTCTCTCCCTCATTAGTTGGTCGGGTCTCCTCCATGCTCCATTTTTCACTGAAGCGACGCCACAGCTGGTCCAGAGAACTGCTAATCTCTATGCTAACATCATGAGGTGTTCTGTCCCGCTCTTTCTTGTTCCCCCTGTAGGGCTTTCTGATTGGCTGAGAAGGTAAATGGTGTGGTTCTAGTGGAAACTTGGGCTCCTGCATGGTGCTGCTGTGAAGATGCACATCATATGTACTGTAGTCTGCCTCCATGTGTAAGGGGACAAACTTTTCTTCCTCATCTTTATACTCCTCATCTATGCCAACAATGTCCATGTTCTTCTCAGAAACATAAACTTCAGGAGCAGTATTGTCATTTTGGTCGGCGAGAGAAGACAGAGAAGATCATATGCTAATGTTTTATTTGTAATAGCAACAGTCCATAGCAAATTATAGTGAAAACTGAAGGAATAGTTCACCCCAAAAAAATCCATCAGCATTTATTTACAATGTCATTTCAAATCCATATGAAACTAAGACAATTTGTAGTTCATACAAATAAATTCTGCTCGTATGGCATCAGAAGACTTATATTGTGCTTTTACGTTGTGTTGCTGAGCTTGACAGTCACTATGTGCTTTCATTTTATGGAAAAAAGCAGACGAGATATTCTTTAAAATATTTTCTTTTACAAAAAATGTCATATTGTCACACATGTGGGTGAGTAAATAATGAACATTTAATTTTATTTGGTGAACGATTCTTTAAAGGGGTCATATGATGCTATTTTAAAGATCATTATTTTATGTATTTGGTGTAACAGAATATGTTGACATGCTTTAATGTTAAAAAAATCAAATACTGTACATTATTGTAGGTCCTCTATGCCCCGCCTCTCTCAAACACCTAGTTTTCAACAAAGCCCCCTCCTTTGACAAGCGCAGTCTGCTCTGATTGGCCAGCTGACCCAGTGCATTGTGATTGGCCGAACACCACAAGCACGCGTCGGAAATGTAACGCCCCTTACCATAATCGCGAGCGTCAGCTTTCAAAGTAAATATCAAGACAGTTAAAAATGTCGTTAGTTTTACCATCAGTTCAAGCCCGAAAGGGCAACAGAGTCACGTGACAGACACAGTGATGATGCAGTACACAAGCTGCGGTTAAGACAGCTGACGTGCTATGATTTCTGACAGGCAGTTCACTCTCCTGTGATGTGACCCTGTTCCCCTCACACACACACACACGACGCATTACTCTGCGCTGCGCAAAACTCCGCCATTTAGTCGCCCAGAGTGAAGATTTAGTTGCATATGCGAGTGATTTACTCGCAATGTAGAGGGTTGACAGTCTATGACAGAGCATGTGAGTGAAGCGTTTTCCGCTCTATGGACGTGCGGTCCACTCAGTCGCTCTAACCGCCCAAGCAAGCACTCCGTTAATATTCCGCTCACGCTCGCCGTAAACCAATTCCCGCTCAGATCCCGCTCCGTTCTGTAAAGAACAAATTTGCGTGCGTTATATTAGATTATAAATTACTGTTGCCTATATCTAGCCTACATTCTGTAGGTCTACCTATTGGTTCGGGTCAGTCTTTATGCACCAAGAGCTTGTAACACTCCAAAGAGAAAGGAAAACTTGAAATCGCATCGTATGACCCCTTTAAATTCAGCAAATATTGTACAACTAATAGAAACACTAATGTGCATCTTACCTCTCTTCATATTGGCCCTCTTACTGTAGATGCCTTTCTTGTGTTTTGGTGTAATTATGTTGTCTTCTAGCTCTCTAGAGCCTAAAATGTCTGTATTAAAGTGTGGAGGGACAGCATCATCAGAACCTGCAAAGGGAGCGAGAGAGAAAAGGACAGAGCATGAGAGAGCTGGATCAAACAGAGAGCAAACAGCACTGAAGCAGAGGGGCCCATGTGGATCAGATGAGGCTTGTATTGCTGGATTGCCTTTCACAAAGACCATGAATAATGCAGGACTGGGTGAGAGCGTGAACCATCTGCAAGACTCGGGGGGAGGGGCCAGTAGAGGTGCAAGCAGGGCTTGACAATTAGGACTGCTGCGTTTCTGATGCCCGATCCACGAGTTGAGTTCTTTCCGCGTCTTTCTTTCGCTTGAACGTACAAATATATACAAAAATGTGTCAAAATACCCGTCTTGGCGAGTAACTTTGTAGCTCTAACAATGATTAATCTATATTTAAGTTATACAGTGGAGTAGAGATGCATCGATCGACCGGGCATTTTTTGTTTTATTTCAGACTATTTCTGTTCCGTGCTTGCACACAAACTGCATCGCAATAATTTTTTCTAAATGTCATTTGTGTGGAAATATTACGTTATTATTATATTTAGCCTGTAAACAGAGGCAAGTGACGCTGAATATGAATGCAAAGAGGAGAAAATACTGTAGTAGGCAGAGCAAGATCACCGTTCACGATGCGTGTAATATAGGAAGAAAATCCTAAATATTGAATTTTATATGGATGTGTTTCTGAGGGGAACTGACTGTTTTCAGAAAAGTTTACATTGCCTTTTCTTTTCATCTTGGCTCAGTATAATGCATTTAAAGCAGTGCTAATATGCACAGCACTGCTATGTGTACAGCAGTAACCAAGTAAACGCTGCTGTTCCGTGAGAGCCGCCTGCTGGCAGAGAGTGAAATTGCGTCTCATTAAGCCTGTCTGCTGTTTCGGTTTCGAGCAGGTGTTTTATGTAGCATAATTTCACAAAGCTAAAGTCAGACAATTCTGTTTTTGCTTCAAATTTTGAAATTCTACAGTCTAATTTAAATCAAATATTGCACATGCTACAAGTGTGTATAATCTTTTTTTTGGATCGATTCATGATTAAAATACAGTGGTTAGGTTACAACTAATTTCAAATGGCTATGAAAAATCAAGGTGCAACACAGTGAAGAATATGGAAATATTATTTTATATGTGATTATTCAATTTCTGTACCTGAACACCTACAAACATAAAATCCTAAATCATTTAATTTGTATCTTTGTTCTATATGTTCAGTGGTGTTATTGCTTGTAATTTGTTCATTTGTTCTTATTTACTGACTGTTCACTTGTCTTTAATAATGATTGAACTTTATATTTGTCAGGCTAGTAGCTTTGGCTGAAATTGAAATCGAGAATTGTACAATTTTATTTGTATCTAAAATATTGGTGTCATATAAACTTATTTATTAGAACACAAGATAACATAGATCAAAAACAATGATAAAGGAAACTTTTTTTTTTTTGTGGCAGGGCCAGCAGAAAAATCCTTAGTATTGAACCCTCATTTCTAGTCAATCACTGATTATATATGGCAAATTTGACTTTTTTTTTTATATATCAGAGCTCTGTGAGATAAAACAGGTGCACATGGATTAAAGGTTTGTCCAGCAATTATGCATTCTCTAATAATCTATATAGTATCCTCAGCATTATATCCGTAATTTCCTGAGTGATCCATGATCCATCCTAACTGAGTGATCCATGAAATAATGTTATAAAAAATGTATGACAGGGACTTGGTTCAATCCATTGGTTGTTTAATTGGATGGAGGCAGATCTGAATATGAACTTTCAGTCAGCTATAAAAAGGGGCAGGGTTTAGGCAGACTAAATGATTGGAGAAGCCTGGCAAACTTTGCAACTAGCTAAAACAAGTTGAAATAATAAAATGACAAAAACTGAAACGGAAATAAAATAAATTAAAGCTAAACATACAAATGTATAAAAAGCTAAACATATAAAAATAAATGTATAAAAAAGTATAAAAAAGCACAATAAAATGACTAAAACTAAAATCACAACGAAAATATAAAAATTAAAGCTTATTCAAAATAATTTATAAATACTAAAATAGTATTTAAATTATGCTAAAATAACAGTGTACGTCACCAGAGAGATGTTTGTCCTTTTACCGGAAATTCAAGTTATAATATTTCAATTAAATATTACAAGGTCAAAACAAATTAGTAACATTTTAAAACATGCATGGATGGATTGTTCACTATAAGATCAATAATGCATTTAGAAAATAAAAAGGGTGAATTTTCATGTCATGACGGCTTTAAACAGCATTATTACACAGCCCCCAGGAGGACTTTTATTTTATTAAATGCAGCATTTTGTGGCCATTTTTGTTTAATGACAGATAAACAGTGCTGGCAATTAGCCTGAGCAAACAATTTTCTTAGAGCTGTGCTAATTTCATGGCTTAGAATTTTTGACTCAAATCAATATTCATGTCCATTCAGTTATTTATTTGGTAAGTAGCCGTATAACCAAAACAGCAACTTTGGTCACATTCCATATAAACTGATAATGTTATGTAGGATGCTGTAGTCTAATAACTGTGTATAGTTCTCTGTGACATACCTGAGTGAGAGCTTTCAACAGTTGTGTCAGAGTGACCAGGAGAAAGCTCTGGATCAGCTTGCGGGATGTAGAACAGCTTGGAGCTCCCATGTGGTTTGTATGGCAACAGGGCAGGGACAGCTACATAGTAGAAAAATAAATCAATTGATTAATTTACCAACATCGAATGCCACTGAAAAGCATATATGAATAAAATGTACAACACACACCTGCTAGAACAGAGAGATTTCTGGATGTCCCAGCCAGCCTCTGAGAGGGAGCAAAGGTTTGTGGGTATCTGGCCTGTAAGTGTGCACTGACTATTCCTGCATTCTGGCCTTGAACTGGCTCTCTGTGTTCATATGATCTGGCATGATTTGATGTTGAGATTCGGTGTATGGACTGCAGATGTTCATCAGTCATGCCTGACACCACGGGAGGTGGGACATCTTTACTAGTGTTTTGACTGGGTAGTCTGCTTAAATAGTTTGGATTGGACTGATGTTTGGGTGATAAGTTGACGTGAATGTGAGAGAGGTGGGACTTCTTGCCAAAAGTTGAGCCTGACGCAGCACTGGATAATATCTGGTTACTGCCTGTGACAGTATAGTCCATGTGAGGTATTATTTGGATACTCTGGGGATCATTCGTAACAATGTTCTCTTTGTTGTCATCAGTCATTTCTTCTCTTTTCTTCTCTTCTCTATGTTGTCCTTCTCTCACCGTCTCTTTTTCTCTGCCAGATACATTAGGTATAACAGCTGGCTGAAGTCTCATTTGGCTTGTGCTCTCTAGAGTCTCATGGTCAGGAACAATATTGTCCAATTCCTCAGTAGCAGTGATAGGGCAATGTGACGGTGACTGAGGAGATGGAGTGCGGTGAGTGGTTGCTATAGTAATAGAAGTAAAAGGCTGGGAGCTGGGCCCCTCTCTAAGGGCGATCTGGTGAACTTTGGCCTCTAGATCCTGTTGTAAAGGTGTGTAAAATGGAACTTTGTCCAAAGGTTTTGGATCAACTTTCTGCAGCTGATCTGAGTTATGATTCTCCATGTTACGCAGTCCAACAAAGCCCTTTGTCAGCTGAGATTCAGGACCAACACTCGACTGAGTACTGCCCTCAGAATCTGAGCTCCACTGAGAAACAAAGCAAGAGAAAGAGAACAAGATGTGTTACTACTGATAAGAGCTAGGGTTGGGGAGGACTATGGGAAGTAGACAGTGATAAATGGGAGATTCAGTTGAAACACTGCAAGCATGAGAGCATAGAGTAAGTCACACAAATGCAAACAACAGCTTTACCTTGAACACTCTCTATCAGGACTTTCCATAATGCAGTCTGCCACACCAGAAACAAAACTCATATTATTTCAGACTCACCATTAAGTGTGATATTTAGGATATAAAAATTCTGCCTTTAAATGATCTTAATAGTTTCATATTATGGCAAATTACTGATAAGTGGCCCTTTTTAAAAAATCTTACTTTGTCTAAATTAATCAAAAAATAATGTTAAATGCTACAAGTGAATTTAGGCATCACAACATTATAGTGTTTAGTATAAAAAAATTATATTTTGAGATTTGCTAAAGATTACATTTAACAGTGTTATGAACCCTATAAAGCCCACTGTATCATATTTGATAAGCAAATTTCTGAAGCCTTAAAAATTAGCAACATGGTCAAAGCTTTGCTAAAAACCTGTTGCATCTGTTTTTGTTGATTCTTATAATGTAAGCCTAACAATAACTTTTATATTGTTAGTAATATTTTAAGATGGACCATCAAACAATGAAGTGAACAATGGACTGAAGCAACTTTTTTGATTTATCAAAGTTTACTTGATTATCCATACATATTTTTTTAACAAATCATGTTAAAATGTATCAAATATGACACATCAGGCTTTTTCATTGATTGACTAAAAATGGGTTAAACTACTGAGCTTTGATAATAAAACTAAGCATTTAAATATAATTAAGGAGATTTTGTTTTATATGCATTTTATGTAAGTGGTCTGCTATACTGTTATAAAGATCTCACAGATTTACAAGCTATCAGATTTTCATCTTACTTTTTGGCCATATAAATATCAACAACTGCACCAAATTGTATATTTTTGCTCAGATTGAGCCTCCAAATAAAATTGAGGTGTTTTTTTCTTCCTTGTGAGTATGAGCTCCATATTCTCCTATATCATACTATATGAGTAATAAAAGCCTCATGTTTTTGTATATTTTGTCTAGAGGCTCAATAAACAAAACAAAACAAACAAAAAATTAAAACCTCAAAAAATGTTAGCCTTCACAGGGTTAAATTATTAGTGTTATTCAAAATTAACTGAACTGAGCGTGCACAATTAAATATCCAATATCGACCTACACCAAATAAAAATTCAAAACCAATATGGTGCCAGTTTATTGTACATTCCTAGTGATATTTATTTGAGATGTCAAAAGTTTGGCAGACAGGTCGACCTACATCAGCAAGTCAGTAAGAATGCGGACACTCACACGAATGAAATCGGCAGACCTTTCTGTGTTGGCATATGGATGTTACCTTGGTGTATTTGGTGTTCAGTAGAAGTTCTCTTTTGATGTCTTCAATTCTCTCTCTGTCCTCAGCGTTTAGTTCTAAGCTTTCACATCGGCGGCCAGAAACCTTCATCAGGATCCATTCTAAAGAGACAGACCAAATTTAGTCATCCACAATGTAAAAACCACTGACATTTAAGAAAAGCACCACTGGTACTGACAAAACCTGTATATGACTATACGTCCTGTTAGACAAATCACTGTGTTTACCTCGGGCACGGCTATCTTCTGGGTCACTGGTGCTTGGCCGGCTTGTAACCATAGAAACAGGCGACTCACTCTGCAGGAGTTTGGCAACTCTGGCAGCCAATGAACTCTCGTTGCTACTGTCACTCATACTTTCAACCTCAGCTGAGACATGGGACGAATTATTCTCTGAAGAGCCAAACGCATCATCCTCAGTCAGGTCCTGGTTCTGCAGAAGGTTCCCTGGTATCGAAGGAACATTTATCTGCACAGCAGATGTGGCTGTAGGTGGCTTTGCCTTATCTGGGTCTGCAGCACTGTAGCCCTCAGGCTCAGCCCGCCTTGGGGTCACACAGAGGTCACGTGACTTCAAACTTTCATCTCTGCTCAAAGAGAGAGCGGTAGGCTCTATAGTTGTGAAGTCATTTTGTTGTGGTCCTTGCGAGGATGACAAGCTTCCTTTCAAAGCCGAATCTGATGAAGAGCGAGTCAGCAGCAAAGAAAGGTTTCCACCAGCTGACAGAGATGTGTCATCATGGTAACCTTGAATGTTTCGTCCTAGTGAAACAAGGGATGTGTCACTCTCTGAGAGGCGGTGTGAGCCGGAGGAGGAAGTCAGAGAGGATCGACCAGAAACAAGGCTTTCTGCCTGGCCCAGCAGACGTCTGATTTCATGCAGTGTGCCAGAGCCTACAAAAGAGTCATCCTCCTCCTTTACCACTTCTCTGGTTCCTGGAGGAGGCAGAGTTTTTGGGCTGATTTGGCTTGGAAGGCCAAAGCTTCCTTCACATTGTGGAGCATCAGAGTGCTGTAAGCTTGATGAAGGATGTAAAGTTGAATGAAGTCTTGGTGGAGTATCCGCCTGGCTGATTATCTTCTTCACAGATCTGTCACTGGCTGGTTGGCCTTGCTCATGCACTGACAATGGGTGTGTGACAGAAGCACTGGAGTCAGCTGAGAGCTGACTAGAACTGGAGAATGTCTCCTTCTGAAGACTGTCAACTATACACAAAGAAAACAAGCATACATCATTATAATATACCCACATACACTATACAAATAATAAAACCAACAATTTCTTAACTCAATAACTTAAACAATGCACAAAAGATGTCAGATGTCTTTGGCTCACCTTCAGATGGCTGTGTGCTTTTAGTTGGTGTTCCTATGGAGCCTTTGATGGTACATAAGTCAGTAGGAGAGAATTCAGGCTCTCTGATTGGTCCTCGACGAGTAAATGGATTTAAGATTGTTGAAGGTGATTGGTCGATACCCAAATTTAAGAGGTACAACTATAAAACAAAAAGATATAAAACAGAATAATAAATTATCTATCAGGGTAGAAAAACAAATCACTAAAATCACCCTGAATCAGTGGTTTTCAAACAAGAAGTCATATACATTTTATAATGAATATAATTTTCTAGTTATACCAATCTCAAAAGTATTTTATTGGGTAGAAAATGCTATTTGTGAGCATCACTTCAAATGTTAATTTATTCAGTAACTTTGGACTTCTAAAATTATTTATTTTATGTATATATGCATTGACACTCCAAGTTTAGAAGTAACAGAAATATCTGAGGGGCTGTTGAATATTGTCTTTGACATTGGGGACCTTGGAGTCAAAAAAGTTGACAACTGTTGCCTTAAATGATTCCTTCTGCTTGAGCATAATTGAACACTAAATGTCATATTTCCTACATATTTTACTTTCATAATGTGATGTGAAACAGGATATTCCATTAAAAATTATGGATGGTAGCATTTGATTTTATCCATCCAACATACCATGATTTTTTCCAGCAGGATATTTCATACCAGATTAGAGACCTGAATGTGAGTTTGAGTATTTTGAATTCATGTTATCTTTAAAGTCACAATGTAACAGAAGTAGCAACAGAAACAGATAATCAAAAAAGGGAAAACATTATATCCAAAGGTTGTTGATTTGATGTTGATTGTAAGAAAAGGTGAGGTTTAAGCAGACTAAATGACTGGAGAAATTACAAAAGAGAAGTCAGTCAGTTTCACATCCAGTATGACATTTTGATAAATTACTTAGAACTTAGACAGGGAATTTCATTTCATGCCGACTTTAAGTGCATCCTACTAGTTCTTCTACAGCACTATGAACTTACAGGGATCCTATCTTCAATGTTGAGTTCCCTAGTGTGAGGAGGGGATGCAGGTCTGGAGGTCCAGTAGGGTGCATAATTATCAACCTCAAGACTCACTACAGAAGAGGCGGCTCCCACTGATGCCCGCATACTCTGCTCGCCATGGCAACTGCCCTGAGAGCTAGAGAGAGTGCTGCTCATATTGAGGCTTGATGACACGTCACTGAAGCGACCCAGACTGAGGAGAGGAGACATCTTGACCGAGCTTTTATCCATGTGAGGAGCTGAGCTATTCCTTCCTTCACCCCTTTCACCAGAAACTAAGGACAACTGATGGTCAAACGATCTGGTAGCAGGAATTATGTCATTAGATTGTGCCACTAGAACTTGCTGACTGTGTGTACCTGTGTCTCTCTGAATAGAGGTCACCACAGAGCTCAGGGAGGAGTGAGAGTGTGAGCGATTGACAGGTGACTCAGATGCTTGTCCTCTACACACATCCACCCGACGGGGTGAGCCGCTTCTAGAATGAGAAGAGGAAAGTGGTTGAGTCATCTGGGAGCTGGAATTAGCACCAAATGTCAGACGCGTGTCTCGAGAAAGCATGTGATTAAGTGTGTCAGACACCACATCCTGTGCTTTTTTCTTGGGCGACACACCATCAAACCCCTGTAGAGCCAAATTATCATAAAATGACCTGCTAGAACTTTGATTGGCTTTCCAGGCATCTACTTTTTGTAAGTAGCTCAAACTGGGAAGCGAGTGTACTCTCCCAAGGGCCAGAGAGACCTTATCTTTTAACATTGCACCAGAGTAAAAGTGCTGAGTGTTGAAGTGAGGTGTATCAGAGGCCTGTGGATTTAAACCAGCAGTAGAAACTTGTTTGTTTGAAATGGGATGGGCATGTGACATTGTTTGCACAGTCTCTGAAGGTCCACTAGGAACTGTAGCTGTTGTTTGAGAGTGGATGGGAAAGGAATGTTGATCTCTTAGGTCCAACGATGGAATTAAGCCAGTTATTGAGTGATTGTTTTGGGACGATGTAGCCACAGAAGCAACAAGCTCAAGTTTGGAGTGTATGAGTGAGAGTTTGGTCAATGCTGGTGGGGGTCTGACAAGAGGTAGCGCAGGTGTGGACTGAGACACAGGCCGAGAGCTCAAGAATGAACCATCTGCTGCTGTTAGATGACCGGAACTCCAGAGCGCTCTCTGTAGATCTGGTACATGCATCACACCTTCACCAGCTGATGAGACACATAGTCCACTATGAGAGCTTTTGTTCCCACTATGGTGCCTACTTGCTGGTGCCGAGATGGAGCCTCTTTGTCCTACAGACAGAAGCTGATCATGGAGATGGTCAGTTGTTTGGTGTGAAAGCATCCGTGAATCACGAAAAGTTATATTTGACACATCTACAGCCTTCTGAAATGAAGATGATAATGACAATGAGCCCCCTTGGGGCTGCTCTCTGCTTTTTTGAAGATTCATGGAAGGATCTGACTGGCTTTTGTTTGTGTTTTGGTGATTTGAGGCAGGTTCAGATGCAGAAGAAATGGCACTGCTGTCACTAACAGCCACAATAACATCCTGGTCCTTGAACTCTAATAAGAGCCGAGCAGACATTCCCTCACTATGCTGCTCTGCAATGGTCTGCTCCTCTCCTTCCATATGTCTGTTGATTTTGTCCTCAGCACCATATGAAACACTCCCGTGGTCCTCAAGCCCTTTGCAATGGTCTCCAGGTGACAGGCTGTGCTGGGACAGTGAACAGCAGCTTTTATCACCCTCCAACGGGTGCTGGGAAAGTGTAGCCTGGTCATGAATAGTATTTTGGAGGTGGGAATCATCAGTTACAGCTACATTTGAAGTCTTAGGGCATCTCTCAGACATAACCGAGAAGTCAGGAAATCCCCTGTGTACACAAAAAAAGAGAAAATATTATCTAAAAATACAAAAAGGTAAAGAAAAATTTGAACATGACTAAACAAACAATACCGAAGAGGGACAAATTCTGCATCTGTATGCTGAAAAAATGTGGAGTCAGAAAGAAGGTGAGATTTGTCCAGGCAGGGAAGCAGGGTAAGTGCAGGTGACAAATGGCTATCCTGAAACTCTGAAAAAGAAAATAAATGTAATCATTATAAATTACATATATAATAAATGTCATTATAGAAAAATCAAAAGAAACACATTAGGAGCTAACTTGCTTTGTGGCATGAAGTAATGTACAGTGGATTTCAAACTTCTGATAAATTATTTTTCCCCCAAATCCAAAAACTGTTTAATTACAGTTTTAAATAAATTTGAATCCCTGATTTTCAATGTGATCTTAGATCTTTGAAGCCCACTGTATAAATACACCTGCTCTCTGTACCTAGTTGTAAAGTCTCAGATCTGTCTATGAGTGGCTGCACGCTTGAATCCTGAGTGTTACTAAATGGTCTTCCATCATTGTCAGGACCTGTGTACGGTCTGCCAGCCTCTGAATCATGCATACTTTGTCCATGCTGCTGGCAGATGATCTCTGCAGGGGTCTGGAAAGGTAAAAACATACTTATTAAAAGGAACTGGTCTGAGATGATGTTTTTGTGTGCCTGACAATTTACAGTGACCTGATAAGGACATGTCAACCTGTTAGTACATCTAAACTTGAGTGTCTGCAAGAATGCTCCAACTTTTAATGGTTGCAAGAGAAGTTTAAGATAGCTCAAAGAAGTTCTGTGGGTACTTTCATGGTCCTCCACATAGGCACAGCCTAAAAAATATATTTTTAATGCATTTTAGACTTGTTGCATTCTGCAGAGATCTTTGACCTTCAAGGTGCCTTCTTTATCTGTATTTATGTAGAAGATTAATCAAAATATGAATTAATCAAGCATAATCAATGTGAATATAGCCATGTTTGTAATCTACTATTATGATCACGTGTTTCTTGTATGTAAGGAGGCCTGCAAGAGAGTGTTATGAGTGTAATAAAGTTATTCTACTATTATGAACATGTGTTTCCTGTATGTAAGGAGGCCTGCAGGAGAGTATAAAGAGTGTCCAGACACAAACTCGACAGATTCTCTGCAGAGTTTCTCAGCTTCATTGTCTCTGATAATAAAGTCTTCTGACATCAAAACCTCAAGACTTCGAGAGTGATTTCTCACAGAAGCGGCAGAAGCCACCACATTTCCATCCTAAGTCCTCGAAGAATAGTTGACCCAAAAATGTTTACGTGTATGGCCGGAGGGTAAATTTTCATTTTTGGGTGAACTATTCCTTTCAACTGTATACTTAGCTGAATTTAAGTTAGTCAAATATCAGATTTATGTTTTCATTTATTTCTATATTATCAGACTTATAACCACTGTACTCGAATTTCCTCTTCGTTATATACTTGATTTCTCATTCTCTCATCTACCTGAATCACACTGCATTAGGAATACACATTTATCTAAGCATCATGTATGCAAGTGCCTGTACATGTATTTCTGCCATCAATTGCATAAGACGGGGAAAAAAATACAATTCGTTATCAGTTAGTAGACTAGAGTGATTTACATTCAACTAAAGTTACTACAAAACTCTTGCTCTTTTTGTAAAACAGTTAAATTCTGCAGTGAAGAACTGCTACTCGCTATTTAGCCTGAACCAGCTAGCAACTGATTAGCCGATGACTACAAAGCTTTAAGTTCATCCAAGTATGCTCTCGTGCCTTCGGTTCAATGTTGACTATATACATTAATAATCATACGTCGACTGCCTTCAAGTCTTTGTACAGCCATTAGCGCTAACTTTGAGCACTGCTCACTTGTTGACATGCAGTGATAGTAGCTACAAGGTTATCCCGATTAGCTAACGTTAGTCATGTAGGAACTGTATCGAAGGCTCACACATTCCAGAATCAAAAACACGCAATTAAACCATATTTCTACTGATACCGAGACAGCAATTTCCATCTACTTACATTGTTTACGTCTGCAGCACAACCCTCTGAATCCATGTCGTTACTGACTCAGACCTTAACGCGCATGCGCACTTGTTTGAATTAACCGGAGTTTGAATTAAGAGTGAAACCAAAGAAATACAAACACGTTAGAATGTGTAACTGGTATGTAAAACAGTACCAGTAACAAAATTTATTATTCTAAGTTATACTAAGTTAGCGGAATTTTCTCCAAGCATGCTGTTAAACACAAAAACTTCATAGCCACACCGGTTTAGCTGACAACATTGGATTCGGCGTCGTTTTGCTTTCAGAATGAAATGACGCTGTTGCTGTGGCAACAAAAAAAGCCCGCAGTGTTGCGCGGGAACTGAGAGTACGCACCAGGAGGATCTATAGTAATTTAATGGTTCAAGCTGCTCTGGATGTATGTGGGAAACCTCATTTGTGACCCTGGACCACAAAACCAGTCATAAGAGTCAATTTTTTGAAATTGAGATTTATACATCACCTGAAAGCTGAATAAGCATTGATGTAATATGGTTTGTTAGGATAGGACATATTTGGCTGAGATACAGCTATTTGAAAATCTGGAATCTGAGGGTGCAAAAAAATCATAATAAAATATCTTCATGGAACATGATCTTTACTTAATATCCTAATGATTTTTGGCATAAAAGAAAAATTGATAATTGCGACCCATACAATGCATTGTTGGCTATTGCTACAAATATACCTGTGCTACTTATGACTGGTTTTGTGGTCCAGGGTCACATTTGATGTTTGAAACAAACATTATAAAAGTTTCATTATGAAAATTTAAAAGTCTCAAATTACCTTCAAAAAAAAAAACCTCTTTACCAACGATTGTTTAAATGTTGGAAATCATCGTTTATAAGATAATCTACAGTGGCGACCCATACAATGCATTGTTGGCTATTGCTACAAATATACCTGTGCTACTTATGACTGGTTTTGTGGTCCAGGGTCACATTTAATGTTTGAAACAAACATTACAAAAGTTTCATTATGAAAATTTAAAAGTCTCAAATTACCTTCAAAAAAAAAAAACCTCTTTACCAACGATGTTTAAATGTTGGAAATCATCGTTTATAAGATAATCTACAGTGGCAAAACTTTTATATTATTCCAATTTTTAAATTTTCCTAAGGCTTATATACATTATCTTAAACTATGCCTATTTTTTAATTTTAGAATGCCTATTCATTTTGAATTTGAATAATTTCCATTAATTCTGTTTATCAGTAGGCCAGCAACATGCAAAAATAAACACAGCACGGGAAAAGTGTTTACATTAAAGTATATAGCCTGTGCTATATTCGACAGACTCTTAATTTTCACAATATGGTATAAACGTAGTAGTCTTTTGCATTTCAACGTAAAAGAAAAACCACGTGGTGCGCCGTGTTTGAGCGTTCTACGCATCCGTCCAGCAGCATATATGCGCATGCGTGCGAGCGCGCACTGTGTGTGTGCTAAAGTGGAGAGGAATCTCGAGAAAACACTACGATTGGAAGGAATGTTAAACCAAATGGAAGTTACTTAAGTATTTTATAATTTAGAATTACATAGCGTCATATATATTAATATATTCGCTAAAATGTCAAGAAAGAACACCATAGGACCAGGTAAGATTGCTCGGCTTTTTCGTGAGGTCTAACAGTTACCTAAACTTCGCCAGCTCGCCAAACACATGTAACGTTAGCTCTAATAACAATAGAGAAGACGTGTCGTTTAACAATATCTGCCTGGAAATTGTGAAATAATACGCCATTTCTTGTTATATTCACGCCGTCTTATGAATCTAGTATATTTTGGGTGTTTTTTTATTACAAAATTTAATAGTATACGAAAGATGATTCATGCTTTGATGACATATGCAGGATTAAACCACGCAATTCACTATTTGTGTGTCTGTATCAATGTAAGGCCTGCCCTGTTCAAACTTTTAAAATATTTTTTCCCAATGACTCTTTTAGAGTACTTCCGGCTGCGTGATAATGAGCGCCTCATGCGGACTCACGTAAGTCATTACGTTTCTGTGGATTAATTTATCAGACATGTATCAGCATTGTGTTAGTTAATCTGGTGTGTAGGTTTTAGTCTTTAATTTCCATTTTCTTTGTTGTCTTTTTTTTTTAGGAGACAATGGTCGATTTTATAAAAGATAGACCTGCAAACCGCAATATCTTAGATGCCTTAAGTTTTGGTTATGGGTTTGGTAAGACTTGTCTTTATTTCTCTTGCACACGCCTCAGTAGTCATCCACAGGCACTTAAATAAAACCTGTTAAACCTTAGAGCAGGTTTGGAATTATTTGTAGTTGGAATAATTTAAAACTACTCCTAATATTGTGCTTATTCTAGTGCTTTAACGTTTTACGTGAACTTAAACTCTGTTTGATTCAGCAACACATTGAAATATTCAAGTCTAACAGGTTGCATGATTTTTGAACTTCTTTTCTTTGGATAGTGGAGTTCCTATGCTATTAATAAAGTTCTTATAAATCAATTTCCATAATTTTAAAGGATTAGTTAAATCAAAAATTAAAATTTGCTGAAAATTAGTTTCTTCAGAATAGATTGACAAATTTAGAGTTATTGCTTGCTCTCAATTGGACCCTCTGCAGTGAATGAGTGAGGTCAGATGAGAGCTCAAAAAGCTGATAACAACATCACAAGTGACAAACACGACTCCAGTCCATCAATTAATGTCTTGTGAAGTGAAAAGCTGTGTGTTTGTAATAAACAAATCCGTCATTAAAACATTTTTAACTTTGTTTCTGGCTAAAATAAGAGTCCTCTATCCATAATATTGCTTTCTCCTGTGAAAGTCATCTCGTCTGAATTTGGAGAGAAATAAGCACAGATCAAGCACTGTTTACAAGCAAAAACAGTTTTAGAGAAATATGTTGGTGGATTTTGATGTGAGCGTATATTATATTTTTTAGAAATACAGTTTGGCACCTGATATAAGAAAACTGAGATTGGCACATGAACTGAGAAAACTAAGTAAATTGTTGTTAATCATTGGACATGTACCAGGCTCTCTATTGTATGAGGATATTAGTCTACATCAGGGGTGCCCAACCCTGCTCCTGGCGA